CCTCTCTCCCCGGGAAATACAGTCCCCAGGAAGGCGGTGACCTTCTCCTCGCATACAGCAGCAGCGCAGACACCTCCTCCTCTCCGCTGGGCTGCGTGGCTCTCCGTCCACTCCCAGTCAAGGACGATGAGCGGCAGCAACTCTGCGAGGTCAAGCGGCTGTATGTTGCACCTGAAGCGCGGAAGATGGGACTGGGGCGGGCGTTAGTGAGTGCGATTGTGACGAGGGCGAGGGAGTTAGGGTATCGGGGGATGAGACTCGATACGTTGCGGAGTATGGAAGGGCCGATTCGCCTGTATCGCAGTCTGGGGTTTGTGGAGGTTGGGCCGTATTATGAGACGCCTTTGGTGGAGGAGACGGTGTTTTTGGGGTTGGATTTTGGGGAGGTGTAGATCTTATTTTTTACTCTACTGTACAGGTGGGTTACTGGGGGAGGATGGGAGGGGATTGGTTTCTTTTGCATGTCTGGTTTGGGCAAGTGGGAAAAAGAAGGTTGGTTGGGGTATAGACCTGATTAAGAGGAAGATTATTTGTGTATAAAAGTTCAATTCTTCGAAACTAGACATAACTAAACAAACAATAGAAGCATGTCTCTAAAACTCAGACTGTTGAGCTTGATAATTTTTTTGTTGCACTCAGCGCAGATCATCTGCATCATGCCAAAAAAGAAGGAAAGTCATCATAGTAGAAGAGACAATGCGAGTAAATTCAGAAAAAGATAACCGGATAAAATTTCCAAGATTTGTCAAAAAGCTTGCCCATAACCAAGCTGTTAGCTATGCGCTTCCAAGAATTCCTCCTCGCATATCAAGGTCGGCGTATATTATATCCGCAGATCATCAGGTCCCAAGCCTGTTCAAGAAACATCATCTTCCAAGGCATTTTGGGTTGCCAGCCACCTCGATTTGTTGAGGAACGGCATCTGCATGAGGAGGAAAGAGAAACGGTGAAGATTTTTTGCTGGTGGGGAGTATTTATGTGGTGATATTATGTAAGCAGGAAATAGCTGGGCCATGAATTGGTTAGTAAGGTCATTTGTGCAGTCATAGTTGTGCGCTGCCTGCCTCGCCGCGTAGTATGCTAGGCCAAAAGAGTGGATTGAAGGACCAGAGTCAAGCGATCGCTCGAGTTACCTTCTTAACAATGATGAATGATGGGTTTGTTTTGGATTTACTGTCCCCCCTCAGCTGAAAGAATGATCCACGTAATTTGAATTATTGTGGCGGAGTATACTGTGTGCTCCAGGTCAAAAGGTCTGTGCCCGGCGTGTACAACCCAAACCCTCCCCATGAGGTTTCGAACATGGAATATTTTCCGCGGAAGCAATCTCCCTATTGCCATGCTAAGAAGATAGATTCATGCAGGCACTGATCAATAGGAGCAATCCACATGTGATATCACATACAGACAATAGTGTAACCGTTTCAGTGGGTGTCAAAAGTTTATTTGGGTCATTCTGGAAGAAGTAGGGAATGGGACGATCCCGGGATCCCAGTGATGTGTGGCTGCGTACCGGGGTCGCACATACTATGAATGCCATTGTGTAAATTTAGACGTGTTGTGCTGGGCTGCTGGAAGGACGAGAAATGCAGGCTTGAGAGAATTAAATATTCTTGATTCAGAGGCCGGTGAGAGACTCAGACGATCGGCCTGTAGGTGTTGTACTTGTAGCACCCATGGACCCGATCACACAATACGTGGTGGTTGTCGGAAATATTATGCTTACCTGGTTTTACAGATTGGAAGCAAGATCTGTAGTTCACAAGTGTCTGCCTGCATTGCATTAGTGGCATCGGAACTGCTGTCCGCTGTGCTGTTCCAACTTGTAATCTAAGGCTGGGTGGTCACTCGCGGCTCGTGAGTCCACTCTATAAAGTTGAAAAGTTAGGGTAGTATTTGATGGTAGTAGTTAGCATGCACTGCTACTTCGGATGGTCTTGCCGGTCGTATTGTTCTGCGGGTGCCTGGACTCAGCACGTTGGGTAGAAGACATGGCGTTTTGAGGCTGAAGTTTCTCGTGAAATGGCATTCGTGGGGGATGTTTGTTTGATCTGCGGATTTTCGAGAGTAAAATGAGGCGCACTGCAAGATAAATGCATGGAATGGAAAGGAGAAGGTAGAAGGTAACGCTGCCGTAGAGCATTCATGCCGAGATAAGGCTATGGATGCGTGCTTTTTTTGGTACTTCGGGACAACGATCTAGACTGTGAAGTGGTATACCGTAGATTCTCATTCTGCGGCGATTCTTCGAGGTTCGGAGAGTCGAGAGACGTGTTCACATTCCAGATGTACTCTAGAAGGTCAGTGCGGAGGTAAAGCTTACCGCTGCTGGCGATCGTGCTTCACTAACGAGACAATCGGCTGTCGGAAAATGGAAGGCTGCAAAGACAAAACTCCTAGGCATGGTCACCGTAGGTTGGCCAACAAAGCTACATCTGTTGATTTGTTGGATCCTGTACCAGAATACATCGGCTAGCAGGAATGTAGTACAAACGCTCAACTGGCCATGCTGGTAGTCCGCGAACGCGTGAGGCGGTCTACGTTCATGCTGCATATCACCACCAGTAAGTCCTCTTCCTCTTCTTACCTGCGTATGAAAAACAAAACCGACAGCTTCTCATTACGGATGGGCCGGCCAGACGTCCAGATGCACGCTTGTGGGAACCATACATGTAGTTGAGTGTGCGTATGAAGTATGAGTAACGCAGAGAGTAGCTGAGCAAGCCAACCTCGTCTCGGTTCTGTGCTACAGGTTCCCGCCTCAGCTTGTACTACCTCGGAGTCAAAGACTGTGAGACCCAGTCCGTCCAGGCCGCCTGAACACCAATGTAAGATCAGTTGAGGTGGGGAAGCTAGAGCAGATCCACTAAGACAATGCAACCTACCTCTCTTTGGAGATGGAAGTGTCCTTGGCATGAAAGGAAGATGATTTGATCGAATGCCACCGCAATGTTAATCTTCGCCAACAGCTGACACCTCGACGATGAGTGCTTGGAGGTCATCTAGCCTGATAAGACGGTGGCCTGATCTGGGTCCTAGCTTTGGAAACAGCGAAACAGAATTTCCAATGTGGACATACTTGCAAGATCGACAAAGTAATGATGCTATCGTGTGACGGGGAATGGGCACTCATTTCCTCTGCATGTAAGTAAGTAGGAGAAGGGGAGATCTCGAGACATAACGGGGAAAGCCGTCGATGAGCGGTGAGCCTCATTGAGTTATCCGAGAAGAGCTTCAACATCTGGGTAACCAACGAAGTATCTACTCCATATCTTAGTGGTGGACTAGTTAAGAACAGATGTTGAATACCGAGTCATTCCACGGGAAGGGCGGAATGGCGAAGAGGCACAAGCCAAGCTAGAGTACTTCCAACAGACTCACGGGCTTCTTCCTCGTAACCATTCACGGGACCTGGCATGTGGGGATTTATTGTTCCTAAACCCTTAGGCTCAGATGGCATCCCGGTTGCCGGAATTCCTAGTGGAGAGCAATTCATCCCCAGTAATACTAGTACTATTTCCAGGACATGCGTACTAATGAGAAGTACGTGGTTAGTCGAAACTTAGTCGATGATTTACTCAGTTGAGCAGCTGAGCTGCTGCTTCAGATTCAGGTGGGCATGAGGGGAAAGATCCATATAGGTAGGGTGTCAGTCGATAGATACTAGATCGATGGAGACCGCGAGGAAGCGTCAGCCGTGATCATCCATGGATAAGTTAGATACTACTGTACTTACTTACTAGTAGCACATAACTTACTAGATACACACCATGGGGCCAGTTGACCGAGCGGTAGGATTGCCGCCAATAGGGATAATGCCAGACTCCTGGAATGTGGGACTGGGTGGGGGGAAGAAGATCGACGGGGGAAAAAGAAGAGACGAAAAGCTAATGCATGTATGTACCTACTTTAGTCCCTAACCACAGCCCGTCTGCCTGACTTGAGATACATCCATCCGCTTCGTCCCCTACTAACTACTACTACTACCAACCAGAAGCGCTCTCTCTCCAGTCTCTTCGCCCCCCCTCCTCTCTCTCCCGCTTCCACTCTTCCTGTCAGTCCGTGCGAGGGCAACACTACTAACTTCTAAATACAGTAAAGGTAAGTTGTTAGCTAACTTACTTCATTCGTAATGGTAGATGAGTAATCTTTTCCCTCCCTTTCCTTTGCCGCGGCCACCCCCAAACCCCATCCATGGGATTGAGAGACGGCACTCCCGGGAAGGAAGTGTGATACGTTCCAGCTCCATCGCACTGTTGGATCTCTAAAGCCACGCTAGGCCTCGTAGCACCATCTGTCTCCCCTCCGTAAACCTGACCCATCAGATACCCGACAAAAATAGGTCGCTCTGGAAAAGACCAAAACCCCCAGAGAGCGGAACCCCATCAGACTCAACAGAAGACTAGTCAGTGGCTTCCTTGTTTCTTCTTTCCAGGCTTCCCAGTTTATTCCAGAATGGTTCAAGTCATGCAATTGTTTGGATTCATATTACTTGTTAGGTATCTCGTATAGTGTTCAGTAGTGGATGAGACCAATCAGATTGAAAAGAACGCAGTCAGGTCACTCCCATCGTGTACAAACCATTCCCTTCCATGCCGTTTTAGCCTATCCATCTCAACGCATTATTATCCAATGGTAGGTTTTCTTTTTAGAAGAAGAAAAAAAAAAAAGAAAAAAAGAAAAGAAAAGAGAAAGAGAAAGAAGCCAAATGGAAAGTGCCTCTCCAAAGCATAAGAGATTTTGGGGCCCAGATGGGTGGGGAAAAAAATATAAGATCGTCAAGGAAAACACAAAGGAAAGGTATGCAACACTCGAATTAACAAAGGAAATCGTCCGGTGTATATAGCCAGAAAATGTTTTACAAAGAACGCCGTGAAGCGCCGACCGGGGTCTGTCGGGCCCTGTGTCTGTGCCCATCTAATGACCCAAAAGGGAACGGGCAACTCAGGTGCCCAAGGGTATCATGTTTCGGTCCTTCCCGTATTAAACTCTATATCCGTTCACTCCAACCACGCCTCCTCGCTCGTTTCGCGAGCATCGGCCATGAGATCTTGGGACTTGGAGTTGTAGACTGGTCGCCCGTCAGCGGTCAATTGGCCGCGATATTCAGGGTTGTAGTCTGGGCTGTTCTCGTCCAGTGTCGCGACATAGCGATTCCGGCCGCCGCGCTTACTGTGGGTCTTCGTGTAATGCGCGTTCAGGTTGTCACTGCGCGAGAAAGCCCGTTCGCAGCCAGGAACCCAGCATACATGCGGCTTCTCCTTAGAGTGGCTCTTCATGTGTCGCTTCAAATGCTCTTGCCTCTTGAAGCGACCCTTGCAACCAGGCTCCTTGCACTTGAATTGGACTTGCTTGATAATAGATGGAAGGTTCTCCAGACTCAAGCTCTGCTTAGACGACTGCTTCCGAGCAACTTTCCTGGAGGGCTGGCGCTGGACTCGGGCGAGACCATCGCGATAAACAGGCGATTGGTTGAAGTCATCCAGGTAATCCATCCCGCCCGAGAGGCGACTCATGGGAGTATCCGTCCCAGAGGTAGTCCCCAAGGAACAAGAACGCACTGGAGTGGTCGGGCTGTGTGTCTTGAAGGTATTGATCGAGCCCGAAAATTCCGAGTATGACGGCGGGGGGGTGACTGGGGCGACCTGCGACGGGGCAATAGTTTGCGGGGCAATTGAGTCTGCCGGCGGGGCCATCCAAGGTATCACATTGCCCATGGACATTGAGTTGGGGACCCTTTCAGGCTGATGGAAGATCGACCGCGACAGACAGGGGTTTGTAGCGGATTCGGGCAGGTAGGGTGCTGCGTGCTGTCGGTAGCTGTTCCGGCCCATAGTGGGATACTGAGGCATTGCCTGAGGGTATGGGAGTCCAGGGACGCCATGTTCGTAGGCTTTCTGCGCCTCTTGGGGGATCCAGAAATGTTCAACGTTCTCATCATATCCTGAGAGGAAGTCGGTCATTGGCATCCGTTCCTGTGCCTCCATTTGTCCATAGGACATTCCCATACTATCGTTTGACGTCATGCTGGCCAGTCGAAAGGCACTGCGCATGGGCGTGGTTCCAGTGTGCCTTTCGTAGCCTTGTCCCGGGTACGAGGCCCCTTCGTGCCAGGTGGGCGAAGCCAAAGAGCCTTGGCTGTACACACTTGTAGGAGTAGGCGTGGGTGATTCCATAGGCGAGAAGCTGGAAGCCATGGATGGGCACTCGTTGGAACCCAGGGAGGTACAGTCGACTTCAATGGTCAGGCGGTCAGACATGTTACCCTGGGATCTCATATCTTCGGTGTCTTCAACGAGATGATCCTTTCGAGACTGTGCGGGAGGAACTTCGACTCTTCCACCTGTGCAGGGAATAGTTTAGTGTCTGTGGGTAGTATTGAATGTACTATGTAGGGGAGCTGTGCAGGTGCAACGACTTCGGTCTTCTGAAGGGGGATGAGATTAAAGAGAGTTTTGAAGGTGGTATGCGGGTGCACAAGATAATGTATGACACAAGGAGGGTGCAGTGTATTATTAGTATATGAGGGAATGTGGCAAGGCGCAACGGCGGCGATATACAAGTGAGAGACGGTGGAGTAATGCAGGTGCAGCGAGGGACCAGTGATGACAAGAGAGAGGCACTGAGGGACAGTGAAGGTAAGAATGCGAACGATGGACGGTGATGTAGCAGACAAGGCAGGGAAAGAATGAAGGGAAAGTCGCCTCTGCAGAGGGGAGCAAGCCAAAAAGAGAGTGAGGGAAGGATGGGGAGTGTGAAGTTGAAGTCGAGGTTGGGGAATGGAGGAGGGACGGACGAGGTGAAATAAACAAATCTCCCGGCCATATATCAGGGAAGGCAGGAAAGGGTCGATCGCACTTACAGCCAGAAGCCATTACCTAGTAGTTCCCCAAAGGAGAGGGCGAGCAAAGAACCGAGTCAAGCGGAAAAAGAGAGAGGCGCGTCGCGTTCCTATGGTGGTCTAGTACGCAAGGCCAGGAATGTAGACTATAGAGTTCCTGGAGTAACCGCGGCGAATCCCCGTTGGGCGAAGAGACGAAGAGGGGGGGCAATTGTCCGGGATGGAGAGTTCTGGTTGGACTGGAACCTCGAGAAAAGCGTTTCCTAGGAGGCGCGACTGTCTCTGGATTAAAAGACAAGACGCGGTTGCTTTGTGGTTCGTTGTAGGAATAGCTCGAGAAGGGGGGTGGGAGGAGGAGGAAGAGGGCGTGTGCGGTTCGAGATCAAGGCGATGGCGATAAATGGAGAGGAGACAATCGATAAGCCCGCCCTGCGACGCGGTTTGCTCGGTTTTCCCTGTCTTTCCCAAGGCGGAGCAGTCTGAATCAATGAAAGAAAGAGAAAGGATGTCTCAGTTGCAGCGGAGGGATGTAGTTATAGGAAAGGCAGGCTGGTCCAGCAAGGGGATCTGGATACAATTGGGTGGAGGACGCAAGTAGGAAGGAAGGATGTCTTAGGATTATTAGATGGAAAACGTAAATTTGTCTAATATTGCACTGGGGATGATAATGGGGATGATGATTTCCAAGGCTGAAGCTTTTCCTGGCGGGGTTGTTCACAGGGGAGATTCTGGGGAGTCCGTGGGAGGTTAAATGTTAAATCCCATTCTGGTGAGTCTATCGTCGATTTACTGTTTCGGGCGAAGAAGCAGGCCCGGAGGGTGTGTGAGGAACCTTTTCCCAGCTAAGTCTTCTTTTTTGTTTTCTTCTATTTTATTTTGGATTTTTGATTTCCAGATTTCATCCCTCACCTCCAGTCATTTTCTTTTCGTCGATTTTCTTTTTATTTTATTATTCTTTCTTTTACCCTTCTTTCTTATTTTTATTTTCCTGGAATTTACGTTTTATTTTTATTTTCTTGCCCTTTCCCTTTCTACTTCTAGGTCTATATTTATTTTCATTTTTTCTTCTTTTAATCCACTAACGTCGATCTACCTCGAAGGAAAATCCACCTTATTGATCGCCTCGGATTTTTTAATCAGATTCCCTGTTCAACCTTCTTATCATTTAGGATTATTGCTTGGGAAAGCAAGTAAGCAGGTAGGAGAGTACCAGCTAAGTAGGTATCCCAAAGCTATCGCCAATACACCCAATATCCTTTCCTACTAGTTTCAAGCAAGTGGTTGTCAAGATTCCCCTCTCTACCTAGTAAGTAGTATTGAACAAAATGGAATTCATTGGCCCCTTCTTTCCAGATCAAGTGGGCGTGTGGACGAATTTTCTTTCGTTCTACGAGATCCCTTCCAACCCATCTAATTGGAATTAGTCTCTAGTCCAAAGGAACCCCTTCATGATCTTCTTCCAGAGATATTGGGAGACGAATTTTGAAGGGAAATAGGATAATGATACCAAATGGGAATACACACAACCTGTCCTACCATGGTTCAGAAAGGGAAAGAGAAAGAAGAGGAGTAAGTAGTAAGTAGAACTTTAGTCCCTACTACTATTCCTCCTACTACTACTTCGATCTACCTACCAACCAACCTACTGTACGTGCGTTGAATACCACCAAATGCAACCCGCCAATCCGATCATAATTTCTTTTGAGTCCCGAAACTGTTCCTGGGAGGGAGGATATCCACAGCGTCACTTTTGTCTTTCCTCCCAAACCAGAAAAAGAAAAAGGAATGAATGCATGAGACGCAGATGGAGGAGAACCGCCGATGGAATGTTCGAATGTCAGCGCACAGCGAAACATCACTGGGGCCAGGCGGGCCATGGGGGATTAACTAAACCTTAACGCGGATCATGGAATTGGATCAACATCATCATAGTAATCATCAGCTCGTCCAGAATCTCGGGATCTTCCCCGGGCAGAAGAACCCACCGCAAACTTACTCTGGCCAGCTGCTGGCTCGGGATGGCTGCAAGTAGGCTATCGAAAGTAAAACACCGGCAGATACCAGGTCATTTCATCTTTTCCCCATTCCTCCTCCAGCAGCGTCGTCGTACGACCGATTCCTTCGGGGGGTGGTCTGTCCCACGGTCATTGCACCGCAAAGACCCTGAATGATCGGCATCGCTGAACCTCCATGTGGAGCGACTGGAGGTTTCGCTTCGGCAATGAAACATGTACGCATACTAATTTCCAGACACAATTATGCAACAAAAAAGAAATGAAGCGGAAAAGTCACCAACGCAGCGATCTGGTAGGTCGGTAACGGGTAAAACAAACCCACCACCGCCGTCATTCACAACATCATCAACATCATCATCATCATCATCACCACCACCACCACCACCACCGTCAACTACGAATACTACACGAAACATTAACGATGCTACCTTCTTTCTATTGCTCAATTCTTCTTGGATCTACACCATGCCAGCCTTACTAGCACCAATGGGCATGTATGGGGCACGGCTCAGGTGCATTTCTTACGCCACAGGTTCCATAACTATCACCGATCGCCTTTTTGGTTTCAACGCCACCGTCTAGGCCAGCTTCGGCCAGTGCGTTCATTGTTGGAACCGGAGGCTGATAATCGCATATCTACACTAACTCAAAGGCCCTTTGGTCATTTATCAGGAACGTTCAGACCGTCGAAATTAATGGCTCCACCTCGACCGAGATCTGGTGAACTTTGCCCGAAGAGGGCAACACGCATGACAATAGTTCCCATCAATTTACGGACTTTTCAGGGAACCATAGGAAGGTAAATCGAAAAAGAGTTAAAAGAGGAAAAGAGGATAGACAGACAGAGCCAGCCACAGTCCCGAGAGGAGCCAACACCGCTATTATTCTTACGATTATCGTATGCAAACCCCTACGCAGAAGCAACGTAGTTTGGGGCTTCCAGAGATAACTGTCCGTTGGGTCAGGTACTGCCCGCGCGGGAGTGCCCACCGTGGGGATTTTCTATGGTCCCATGGTCCGAGCCAACCGAGCCAGCATCGGCTGTTCTGAAGGGCTGTTTTATGCCCAGATCAACAACTCACTGGCATTCACCGTTTGCTAGATTCTGGTCTGTGCAAACCCGGGCTAGATTGCAGGCGAGCCCTGATTCTCTATGGTTCTCGACTGCAGACTGCCAGACAGGCCGCATCCTGATTCCAAACCCGGCCAAACTCGAACATGAAGTAGGAATGGCGATATACCAGTTGGCCACGCACTAGATAAGTGATTGCCACGGGAAAATAGCCGATCAAACATGGCCTCCATACCGCGGGGAAGTAGTTTGGGATCCGAAGTGACAGGACTAAGGATCCGAACGAATTCATGAGAGGTAAGAAATTCCTTGTTCTTCCAAGATCACCACTTGGCTGGTTTGTGTGTAGGTACCACCAAGGGTCTATTATGTTGGCCCGTAGACTGCATCCATTCAAGTCCCGTGTCGACCGAGTGCTTCGTACTACCTCAATGCGGGCTACCTACGTATGACCACTACACAGCTAGAGAAGCATGATCTAGTCAAGAGGAGTATCTCTGGTAATCTTTTTGAGAGAAAAATAAGAAAGAAAAAAAAAATAATAATAATAATATAAGGGGGTGATTGTGCGATTACCACCACCGGAATGGTGCAGCAAGAAGACTGTATTGGGGACTGGCAGCTATGTTGATTAGCAGCAGGCAGGTATTGTTGAGGCCTGGGGAGCTAATAACGAGGCAGAAGCGATGCGTACCTATCCACCTTTTTTGGGGAGGGGGAGGTTACAACTGGAGCGATCACGTATTCAACGCCCCGTCTGTACTTTTCACTTCCACCATTTTCCGCCCATTCTGGGATCGACTGGAAGAGGCATGAAGAGCAGCCGAAAGGCGCTTTGGCCGACGATCACTGATCGTACGCACATCATCCACCTGGACCAGTGGGCGGGCGGTCGACACTGGCTGGATCCTGCAGGTTTGAAATCCGGCCTCCAGCCCCCAAAGGTGGGCCAGCCGAACCTATCAGAAACCCGCCAGCCTTGCCAGATGCCAACAGCCACTCGGGCCCTTTGCCCAGGAACGCTCCGGCCTGGGTTTTGTGGCCTATAGTGGTCCGTCACTGGTACCTTCTGGTCCTCTAAGATGTACGTAGCACAGTAGTCTCCTGTACCAGTCACCGTGGAATGTGGGGGTTGGTTAGTGAGTGCTTCTTCTATCCACCGATTGTACCCAGTACCTCTCAATCGCTGGGCTTGGAAGGTACCGAGTATGTACCTCGTATAGTATGTTACCTTGCAACAACTCTTCTGAGTTAAGGACTAAGTACCAATTGATTAGGTATAACTATGTTGATGGTAACTAAACCTAGTAAGGTACCTGGTTTTTACTGGTACCGACCGGTGGTTACTGGTAAGTAACAAAGTACGTAGAAGGAAAGGGAAAAAAAAAACCCTCACTCATCTCTCTCTCTCTCTCTCTCACAGTATGATTCCATTCTAGCCGATTCCAGTAGTTGTGCCACTCACTCAACGCCTTCCTCACAGCGTCACCAGGTCTTCTTTCTTTCCCTCCCCACCCCCAACCGAGTCATACCTCGATCGTCCTTATCGCCGCCATCACCCCAAATCCCAGCATGACTGGTGGGTGGTCTTTTTCTGGTGTGTACCACGTCTTTCAGCGGATACGTGTGGCACGGTCTACATACATACATACCTGCCTATCTGCTATTCACCTCCCCCACCAGGTGCTTGTCTCTCGTCTCATGACTGGTCTGGTTCTTCTCGCTTTTGCCTCCCCCATTCCCGATGGTCATTGACTGACTCGAACGATATTCCAGCAGGCAGAACTTCTGAGTATTGGTCATTATCGCTTAACTGCCATTTCATAAAATGATTTTTGGGGTTCCATTGACTCTTCCTCATCATGGCTTTCCCCACCGGTGAGGCGGCGCAGTTTCTGACTCGTCACGCGTCAGCCAATGCTTCGATCCTCTGGGCATGAACCCCGTTGCTTCCATGCGAAAAAAAAGAACCACCAGCTGGACAAGTCAATCGGTCGGACACGTTGTTTGCTCCCCCCTAGTACTTTTGGGCTGATAAGGTACTGTCTTGGGACCATTGGCCGTGAATACTTCATCCAGTTGATGGACTGAGTGACGACTGTTTCCATTGCTTGTAACTTCCGAGCCATCGTGGACATTTCATGAAGTCGCTGACAAGAGACGGCTTTCTTCTGAAAGGCACTTCTGTAGCTTTCCCCCCACCCCCCTCAAATGAGGTACTAAGGCTTTTCACAATAACCGGCCTCCCGTGTTCTTCAAGAAAACAATCGCCCATACATTGAATCGAACACCCCATGAGATGTATGGCAGTACCTTCAGTCTGGAATTGCGGTCGGATGTTGTCGACAATGTAATCCGCCTGATCAACCACCGCAATGACACTTTCCTGACTCGAGGCAAGCTAGGAATTACCATATCTTAGCCTATGCTATGTGTGGGGACTTGAAACCAAGTCTCATAACTACCTGCCAGTATCGTACTTAGTCACTGGGTCCTAACTCCACTACTGAGCCCACACCACTGTGTATGAGAGGTACACTCATGCGTGGAAGTATCTTTCGTGACATGGATAACGATAACACATTGACCCCTCTCATTGTCGATATTTCACGGAGCCCCTCGCTAGGACCAGATAGGAAGCTTGAATGACAAAGGGGATAGGTTCTCATTAAGCCACTAAGAAACAAGGTTTATACCCGGTGCGACGCTAATGAATGGTGTCTGTGGGTGGGTTTGACAGTTCCCCTGCTTGGCTGCTCATCGATAGACTAGCTCTTACTATACTGAGAGTTCGTATTTAGCTGAGGCTTACGGTCACCAGGGTTTGCCTATTGAATCATGAGCTTAGTCCAAAGGCAACAGGGATCCTTTTGGGGAATATCGGGATTTGTGCAGTATCGCGGATCTAATGGGAGCGTGTACTCCGCATACAATCGCTGACCTGGCCGGATCGTTATTCTTGGTCTCTCGCACTCCCTATTGCTGCTGAGCCACACTCCCGAAGCAAGAACTGAGCCACAGCCGCTATTGCCTAGCCACTTGTGACTTATCATCTCCGCCGTCGTTCCAGGCTCGGCCGAGGAATAACACCGCTGGTTGAAGCCTCCACTTTCCCAATCCACCAAGTCCATGGTGTTCTCGAAGGCTTCACTTACTTATCCAAGCACTCTGCACCGCTGATCTTGGCGACTCTACCAAAAGACCGTGCGTCGCAGCCTATACTCAGCCGCACAAAGGCAATCTTGCAGGCTTGCCGGTTATAAGCCTGTAGCCAGCATCGTCCGGTGTCTGGGCGATTGGTTCTACATCCGGAGTGAGCGAAGTGGAACGGACAGACAATCTTCCGAAAAATAATGGCCTCCCTTGACTGTTCTGGCCCGAGCTCAGCGAGCCACAATTCACCAGTCAATTAATCAGCCCAATTGATTCGTTGCTGAATTGTGTACCTTGGGCGACTATACTGCTTCCATCTCAAAGGAGCGGCTGACGTCAAGTGGCTGTCTTACCACCTAGATTATGTAGCTATGACCACCCGCTTTGATCAAACCCCGGATTTTCAATTGAACTTTGATCACCAGATCCCTTTAATCCCGCCCATTGGGAGAAGGTTTTCTTGATGAGAAAAATAGGTAATAGGTGAAATACGCTAAGATCATCAATCGGGCTCCGAGCGGGTATCTAGGAGCTAAGTAACTCTTGTTATCACCCGCGGACAGGCACACTGACCGCCGGGTTGTGTTAGACTACGGGTTCATTCGACACGCGATCTTTGTGTGGTTGTTTGGTCAAACTCCTTCTACTCCTGTTGAAGATGTAATCATCATATGAGCCTTCTGGGATATTTGTCAACCGTCCCTGTGCTATTCCGGCGTTTCTTCGTCGCAAATTCCACCAAATCCTGCTTTCCGTCGTCCAAGAGCGAACCCCTGCAGCACGGGCCTGTATGTTGCAAGGAGTTAACCGGACAATTCAAGGGCGTTGAGATCTTCGAAAGGGTTCCTGCGGTGAGATTCGAACCCACTGCATTGACGATGCTGCCAAGACCACGATCAGCCTGATCCTGGATATTCCCTCCCTTTATTATCTTTCTGCCCACCGATCAATATATTGGACCCAGATCCAGTCCGCTCCGATGAAGATGCGGAAAAATTGGCCGATTGTGGCTTCTTACCACCCAAAAAAAGCCTGTGAGAAACTCATTGCAAACGAAACTTGATCAGATCTACTCCAGACGTCGACTAACTTAGATCTTGAATTACAAACGTGTGAAAGCATCACTTCTGGCCACCGGCGTGACGAGGGCTAGACTCGATGGTTATTTCAAATATATTCTCTGCCTATCTTGCTACATCCCCTAGTTCCAGCCAAGGTTTGGCCATGAAGGTATTGAGATTGTCCAAGAATTGCAGCGCACGGGTACAATACTCGTCCGTGAGCCGGCTAATGAAGACAAAGAGAGAAAGGGCCACAGATCATGAAATCTGCACGACGACAATAATAGCGATAGGAGAAAGATTGGTAACTTCTTGCTAGTTTGAATGCTCGGACCTGCAACAGCAAAGTCTTTCATCCACTCGCACAGCCACAGGTCTCCGTGGCTGGTTTGAGGCCTGGCTAAAAATGTCACTCGACAAAGTAGAGGAGCCGTTTGGGTTCAGCAATCTACACCCCTTCTGCCCGATCGGTCATCCATGATCTTCGTCGCAGCATCCTGGGTATGGAGTACTCCGTTATCTATCATGACTGAGCCATATCCACCCTTAGCCTAGAGGCTCCATTCCCGTTTACCTGAAGCTCTGGCAAGCAGGGGCACAGCTTCCCATTTTCCATTTTATTTCACAGCGCCTTCAACAGTCGCAATGCGCCAGTATGTACAGGTCTCGATCAAGTAAGTGAGGGCTTGAATAAATGGTGGGTTGGGTCGGCGTAGATTGGTGTTTATTGGGCTTTGTTCTACATGCCCTCCTGAAAGGTCAACAGAACAGTCAACAACCTGCTGCAGGTGCACCCATCCCAGTACAATGTCTTCTGTGCGACCGTTCGGGACGTGATTCTTCTTTCTTCCCTCTTTTCTCGACCTTTCTCGGGGAAGCCACTGGAATAATTGGCCAGAACCTGATTAACTCCCAAGAAAAGTTCACGGAGCATTAAGAAGCAGGATCAACACTGAATGTCGCTGAACAAGGTCCATTCATGTCTCAGCTGCTGCGCAGCCCTCCCGTGCTTCGTTCTATTCCTGTTTCATCAGCATCCATGCAAGACACGGCCAACAGTTATCAGCTATGGTTCCCTTTCGCTGGAGGGCGAGTGGAGAGTGTTCTGTAGGGGGCGGATCCCAATCGGGCAATCCCAGCTCTGCTAGTGCTGCATTGTCCGCCCCTTGCGTCCCGACTTTTTCCCTTTCTCTGCCAAACCACCCCCAATAAATGGAGAGACTCAGGGCTTGCGATTGGCTGAAGACCCCCCAATTTCATCAATCTGCCCACCAATATCGCCATTTTGAGTTGCATTGCATTGCATTGCGTTGGCGTTGAAGGCCCATTCCTGGCCTTGGCCTATGGAGTCGTGCAGAAGCAGGCCTATCTGGGCAAGCGATTTTCAGCAGCGAACCAACCCCACAGAGACTCGTGCGCGCGACACGACCATCTTTCCGTTCTGGTCCAACGGCGGTGGCTGTCTGGGGAGCATGGCAGGAGGAAGGTGTGCGAGACGGTCCTCGCGCAGCTGCTTATCAAAGTGGTCCATTCTCATCGACGTCATTTTATTGATTTCCCTTGGGCACCAATCCACTATTGGTCGCACTCTCGGGCTCCTTGGGCTCTCGTTAATTATTAGCTAATATATTGTTCCAGGGGCTGTTCTCTTTCTCTCCACGTCCCCTCCGCACTGTACCACGGAAGTTCTCGCGAACCCTCCCGAATCTTTCGGCTGCTCTTCAACTACAGATTCGCGAAACCCTAGATGTCTCCATAATCCTGAAATAGAGCATTCAAACCCAGAATGGGGATTGCTGGCTGAACCATCACAATAAGCCACGTCCAAGCTTCTGCACCCCCAGCCTAACCCGCGATAGTAGGTACTGTATGGCTCTGCAACGCTTCACTACGACGTGATGAGGTACTCTAATGTACTATTCTGATTGGAATGTGCAGGATGACCTGAAACCTAGCCATCCACCAGCCGTTCTCTTCGGCCGGAGTGACTGGACTGGCTCGGATCCCCCCTCCATCCTACTTAGACCACCCACCTCACCACCCAACCGGGTGGCCGGACCACGCGCACACACCCTCTCTCTCATGCAGACTAACCCATTTACATACATCCGTACATCATCCATGCAACTGTGACACAAACCAGAAACTCAATATCAGCCTTGACGCCGCGGAGAGTCGTTCCTGACCCCTTCCTACTTGGGCAGTTCGACACTTTCCTGGTCCGTGGCTGGCTCGACCATGGCGCACGTACCGTATATCTGCAGCGGAGATCATTGTAGATCTGCAGATCATGTCCCAGTGGGCCGGTCTCTAATTTGTCCCAGCTACGGCTCTTTGCTACAATTGAAGTATTTAGCATGATTGTCCCAAACAGAATAATCCTCCACGGCATTTGGTAGATTTGGATTGGAGGGGAGGTAAAAAGAATCACACACAGGACTCGCTGTCGAGTCATGTCCATGGCTACTATTGTGCCACATATTGGTCTCAAAGTCAACCTCCTCTGGTGAATTCATGGTCACGGGCCCCCTTTGGCTGGTTGCCCATGTGACAGTTCCAGCTCAGACTGTTGGCCGCACTGTAACTTGACAGCCTCTACAGTACGATTCAGCTACACACAACACCACCACCACAATTATGATGTGCATGCTACCGTGTCGAACCACACGACAAGGCAATATCTTATGATATGACAGAACTCTATGCTAGCTAGTGGTCGCCTTCTTTATTCTATAGAGTGTCTGTGGATGCCCATGACTCGAGAACCTTGAATGTCCTCTGCCTGCAACTACTCTCGAATCCTACAATTAACACATTCACATCTCGTTTCATACAGTTAGAAAATGGATAACTCAAGTAGGCAGACAATCCACAGCTCAGCCTTTGTCGATCATGGTTAGGATACTACCTTCGCAACAGAGAACGAGCAGCTGAGCAGCTGAGCTTGTGTAAATGTAATAATATCGACACATATAGTAAGTTGTTGCTCAGCTGAGCCCATTCATTCAACTGACGCATTACTTACTGCCTTGATAATGAAAGTGCTACCTGTAGTCGCTGCCTAGGCCTAGTAATAACAGTTGCGCATATACCAGTCTATTCCAAATGAATTTAATTATTTTTCGTCGGAATTTGTAGATTCCGTGACTTTGTAGCCATGATTACAATGAAGTACTCAAGTACTAGTATACGGATCTGGGTTGCTTGCGATGGATTATTGTAATTCAATGATTCCTTAAGTTACCCCTTTGTCCATGTTGGAATATCAGAATCATAGATAGTCAGACTAATGAGTATAGTAGTACTTACTGCTACGAGTGTGATGAAGTGCGAGTCTCGACAATCTTACTAGTATATATATACATATATATAGTGCTGTGTTATGTATGGGATGCGGAACACTGTTTTCGATTTCTCTTCAACAAACGTAACCAGCAGTAGATATTCCTTTGGACAGGTGTTCTTAAGAAGACAAAACTACTCCAAGATGTTGCTGCAGATCAGACAAAAAGATTGCTATATATAGTTGTTCATGCTCAGAGTTCCAGACTCTCAGATCCATAGCCAAACCCATTGTCAGCAGACTCTTCCGGCTCAGACGATGCCTGGAACTGTTCGGCAGCCTTAGCTGCGGCCTTTTTCCAGTCCGCCAGCGTGCTGGTCGAGAATACGTGGTTCCCCTCGTCTAGATAGGCTAGCCCATCCATCGCCCGGCCCCCACAGGCGCGCTGAAGGGCCAGGAACGCGAAGTGGCCGCCGATTACCGGTCGAGCGTAGAAGTTCGGCCCAGGGAACTCGCCCTTGCCTTCCGTGTTGTGGAGATCGGTGAACGGAAGGTCGGTGACCGTTTCGTTGACCCATTTCGCGACGGATTCGAGAACCTCGCTGCGAACGTTCTCGCTGGCAACAGCCATGGAGAAGAACTCCCAGTCGGTCTTGGTATACAAGTGCCGGCTGTCGAGAGGGAGGCCATACTTCTGACGCACATTGTGGTACCAAATCGACTGTCTCTGGTAGATGTGCCGGGGCACGAAGCCCGTCTTGTGCGGGTGAGGAGGGTGGGGATGGAGGGGTCTCTGTTTGGAGCCAGACGTGGCGTGTGGAGAGATATCGGTGCCCTCCAGATGGAAGCACAACAGTGCATCGGCGTATAGATTGTAGATGGTGGTCCACGATCCGTACCAGTCGTAAGCGAGCTTCGCGTGTGTCTGGTCTCGAGACATGCCCAACTCCTCCCACTTGGCAATGTACCTATCTGCGATATCCTGCGACGGATGGTGAGAGATGCGCATTGCAGATCTGACTGCACAGACTCACCTTGTAGTATGAAGCGTCTTCATCATTGCCAACCACCTCAGCTAGCTTGCTCATGGCATTGATACCGACGATACCTTTGAGCGCCAAGTTCGTTTGAAGCGCAAGCCAGCCGGCGAAATCGTCCGTTGAAACTATCTGAGAGTCAGCAATTGCCATGAAGTCCTCTCAGGGGACACCTACGCTGATTCTCGGGCTCCAGCGAGAACTCCACCAAGTAGCCAGTCCACTGTTTCCAGAGACGGTAGCTGCGCTGGAGCCACCTCTCCGCCTCACGTTGGCCTTGTATACCACCACCCCATCTTCCATCCTGCTTATCAACACCTCCATGTGCCTGGAGATTCACAAGAGGAAAGCATCCAGGATGATCGTCCGAAGGTAGAGGGCTCTCGCCTTGTGTTGACCAAATGGATGACGCAGCAGAATCTTCCGAATAACGCAGCGAGTTCACAATGGCCAAACCCATGATGAGGATGTTACCGCACTCCTCCACTGGCATATACTCGTCGTTTCCATCGGGATGTCCAGTGGCATTCGGGAAGTGAGTTCCCAAGTCATGCATGGCGTACGTGTTTGGATATTGTCCACTCAACATGTGCTCGATCAACGGCTCCAAAAGGTAGGCCAGCCACCGCGGGTTAGTGTACAAGAAAAACGGGAATGCAGGGAAGATGACATCAATCGTCTGGAAGTTTCCGTTGGATGAGATCTCTTTCAGAAACAAGATCGGATTTTCAGGCGTTCCAGAGAAGGTAGTTGCCCCCATGACCTGTCGAGCAGAGAGTGCGACAATGTCAACATAGTCGTGTGCGCCCGACTGATAGGCATCCTTGGCTAACTGTTCCGAGTAGTTGGAGGCCAGCGCACTCGCCTGGGAGAAATCGTGGTAGTGGAAATTCAGGAGCGCGTCGACGCTAGGGAACCATGACTCCCACAGAGGTCGCATCAGAGTCAAACCACGTGCAGAGGCATATTGGACAACAGGGTCATGGATCAGGGCAATGCTAAAGGTTACGCTGGCGCTGGTCGGTCCAGCCTTCCGGTTTAGGACGAATGACTTGGAGAATGCAAAGACCGGCTCTCGGTCTCCAATGGCACGGAAGACCTCATCATTGACGTTATCCAGGACTCCCTGAGTCAAGAATGTTTTCCTTACGGCGGACGCCTCGCCAGACTGAAAGTGGACATCCTAGATGCTCGGGTCAGCAACGAGTACAGTGACACTACCGACAAGTTTACATACAGCGGGCGCGGTGAAGTGAAGAGTGCCCCATTCGGCGCGATCGCGGATTTCCGAAAACAGCAGCTCAGACTGTCTCTGGTATCGCCATCTCCGCAAAGCCGGTTTATTGTCTTTCGCATCGAACGCGTCATACTGCCAAGAGATATGACTTCGGGTGTCACCGCTCACCCAGCCTCCATTGATGTCCATATAAATATTCACGCTTACTTCACCGTGGACATGGACTGTGACATATGATGCAGGAATCGACTGCCGCAGAGTCGATGTAGGAGTAATGGGAGACAAGAAGGAGATGGTGATCTCCAGGGGATGGGAAGCAGAGGTGGAGGGATCAATGCGGTAGGTCAGATTGGTGGTAGATGCGTCGTAGTTGGCTCCAAGGTATGTCGGGAAATCAATTTGTGACCTAGCAGCATTTATTAGTTGGGACGGTCGTGGATGGTGATGATGCTGTGCGAGTGCCTACCCAGGCAGGGATTCGTGAGGCTTGCCCAACAATGGATACACGGTGCCTGTGCTAGGGACATGAGCCATCAGAGAGAGGCCCACCTCCTCGCCAGTGTAGAACATGGGCCATTTGGTCCAGGGTTCATCTCTGGCATTTCCAAACCAGGTGCTCAGATAGGGATTCCGCACGATCAGAGGGAGAACGGGCGGCGTCAAGGTGGATGCAATGCCGACGGTCGCCTGAAGGGCGGCTGTCAGCACCGCAAGGGATGGGCGCATTGCGGTTGAGTCGGCGCAGTCAACCGACGGGTAATGAATAAGAATGTCAAACAAAAGATAGGTGATGATGGATAGGATGGGGGGGAGCTATCCATCAAGCAGCAGTGATGGATGGAGGTGGAAGAGGAGCGGAGGTGGAGGTGTAAGGTCGGGGGATGCGTAAACAGCTGAACAGTAAGCACCTGATGATGCAATCACTCCATGACAGGGTAACGATCGACACGGTCGGAGCAGCGAACGAATTTGCACCGTCCGAGCCACTATCAGAACCCCGAAAGGATGACCCAAGAGGATATAAAAAGATTGGAGTAATTTGTACGACGCATGAGGACTCGATGGCAAAGACCGAGTCTCCGAGAGCCAAAATGCGGGGAAAGCTGGGGATTCCCGCATCGGGACGATAAGCTAATCTGCCAGGCACCACATATTTAAAAAGGATAATACGCTGTTATTGTATTTTCAGTGGCCAGCAGCTAGCTTAGGGAAGCTCTACATTAGTAGCCAGGGCATCCTTTCCCTTGGGAGCACCACCCAGCAGATAGAGATCTTGAACTTAACGCGTAGTTAGATACAATGATCCCTTCATATTGTTACTTACACGATGTGCACACACGAGATATTGCTACATATACTGTTCATATAGGAAAACCCCTTGATTCAACTCATGATCTTTATGCTATAAAAATTTGGCTAGAACAAAAGGAAACCAGGCTTGTATTGAAGTCACGTCCGCTAATTATAGTGTGCTATATATACTAGTGAGTTTTATTGAAAGCTTTAAGGATATAAAACCATCGCTAGTTAGTTTCAATACAACCACAATCTCTGAAAATTTCACGGGTTCAAATTAGTAAGTATATGTTTGATACTTCCACTAACCTTCTATGATGATGAACGGTAACCTCTTGATAATATGGTTAGGAGTGGGAAGTATCTCAAGATCCTAAAAGGTATAGCATGTTGGGACATCTTCTATCTTAAAGCAGCGCTTAGCTTACTGCATACAATTGAAGTTCTCATTGAAGATGTATAATACTAAATATTACATCTGTACAAAGAGACATGAAATGTTGGAGAAGCGCTAGGAGCGCTTCTTAGTAGCCACGCCAACTGTATTTATGAGCTGTTGCATGAAATATCGCCTAAATATTTCTGCTACCAAGAAGAGTCTTCCATGCTTCCTGGGACTATCGAAACTTTTATGTAAATCTGGCCTTCATGAATAGGAGAATTATGGAAACCGGACGTTGAAAGTTAGAACCCGCTCCCGTTGTCTTACTGAATTGCAATATTCTATGATGATCTTACACCTGGCTGCTAATTATGTTCCATCTAAATAGGATAAGATAATGGAACGCTACAGTTGCACCACCACCATCAGTATAATTTGTATCACTGATAGATTGAACCCATTCACATGTGCTGAATCGAGGGTGCATATTACCAACCAATCAACGACTGTCGTGTACTGCATTTCTGTCCCACTCTAGTTATACCCGTCCCAGAATGGTAAAAGGCTAGCCTTATCTAGATATGCTACCCCGCAAATACATGCCACTAACCAAATACGGTAATCAATACATTTGACTTAAGTTGTGCTTGAAGACGAACACGGGGTTCTAGAGATCGTATAAAGATATTGTGCAGGACAAGACAGATTTTAGTCTAGCTTCTATAATGAATGCTGTTGACTGGATCTGGGCAGAGTTCAGTCGTGCTGTCATACCCAGTTTCGATCGTGACGGCTGCCAAATATGTCTCCGCCGGGGCAATGATGTATTCCTAACAATGCGCGACATCTTTTCGCAGTATTACTGATCATTTGACAACCAATTGGCTACTGCGCTTAAGATACAACTATCTTCGACTATATAAAATATTAATTTTTGGCAACACAAACATTTGCTTCCCTCGCGTGCGCGTCATAGCTTTGATTAGACCAACGCCAGCATGGTCCCTGGCCACGAGGTTTACTGATATTCATGTCAAAGGCTGGAGCTCTCTGACTCTAAAATATGGCTCTGCCAATTATCGCTTATAATTTACCTGTGGGACTTGATAAGTAGAAAAGAAGCAGACATGTCGTACAAGGCTAAAGCAACAATTATCCCTCAGCATGTTAGTTGAAACCTGAGGCCGACAACAAGCATTCTACCGATGGGTCATAATAAAGCCCGCTGCTATTGCTGAAGAGAGAAAGAGAGCCAAAGATGGAGTCCAGCGCAGTAGCCAGTCATTTGCACAGCTTCAGGAATGTGGATGCTGCTATCTGCTTGCATCTTTGCTAGATCGCGATGAAGTGGAACCCGAGAATGACAGAAACACCTGGATTGCACGTGTAGACAGATTAAACACCAGTTCCCCAATTATGAAACTACCGACCGGCAATCATCCAGTGTAGAGTGTTACTATTTCCTCTTCCACGGAGAAACCACAACGCCGTAAATAAAAGTGGATGTTGAAAAGCGGCCGACGCGTGGAAGGGAAGAAGAAAGACACGCTATGAGGCTGGACGTTGCTTAGTTTCACCGCAAAGGGGAACCACCGAACCCTCGACGCGGATGACCACGCGCCTCTGTCTTTCCACCCCCATCTTTCTCCCCAACTCGCTGCCATTGAGTCTTCTGACCCAGACCGTGACTTTGCCTTTCTCCCTTGCTTCCTCCCTCTTAACCTTTCGGACCCAATTGCACCAGCTCGTGATCCTCCACTCCGGAAGACGTGTGTGCGCGTGTGTGGGCATCGTGATTTAGTACTACTACTACTTACTAGTACTACTTTACTACTAGACCCTCTCACCCTAAACTTCCCCCCCCCAACACACTCTTTTACTTTACCTACACCACGACACCACCCTTCTTCTTTGAAGCTCCTTTTCTACGGAGCATATCACACCCTCCAATGCACTCTACCATGTCCGCATCACACCCCAGCCCCGTCAAAGACGGTCGGCGAGTGCTCGGGGAGAAGCACGCCAACGCGTGCCTGTCACCCGCCCACCATCGGCACGCTTCTGTCTCGCCCCTCAAACAACAACGCTCTCTCCTTGAGACCTCCTCCTCTCCTAAGAAGCTCCTTCCTTCGCCTCTCTTTGCGGGCCAGAAACGTTCTATCGACCAGGTGGACAGCACCAGCGAACCCCAGATCAGCCATGCCAGCGCGCAGCCCCAGTCGCGGCCAGAAGCATCTCCGAACGTGCAGCATGACGTTCAGCAGGACTCTCAGGTATGTACCACCATGATTCCACACACCCTACCAAAAATGCGTCAAATTGCCCATTGACTCTAACAATAAGCCAATTCAGCCACACGCGACGCCAGAGACACCAACACAGCTTCTAGAATCACAACAACACCAGCCACAAGAAGATACCCACTCCGACCAAACAACAACACCGACAACAACCACACCCCTCATCCCCGAAGATCCAGCAACGCGCAAGCGCTTCATCCAAGAGGTACGTACCTCGCACCTCCATTCCCACTGACAAAGAGTACTAAACATTCTCCAGAAAGCAACCCTCCTCCGCACGCGCCTCCAAACTGCCATGCGTCACATCCAAGACCCCCAACTCGACCGCCGTCTCTCCGACCTTGAAGCTCACAGTCGCAAATACCCTCGTCTATCTCTTCCCCAAGAACAGCGAATTAACATCACTACGCCGACTTCTTCCACATCCTCGTCCTCCCAGAACCAAAACCAGACCACCCCGCGCCCTTACCAACCTACCACACACCTCCCGCTGCACGAAACCGAGACCCAGAACGCGTCCGGCCTCTCCTCCCCACCCCTATCCACCGGAACGATCGCAACACAGAAGGAACAAGAACAAGATACACAAACACCCACCCAAAGAGCAGAAGATGACGATAATGACGACGATCCCATGAGAACACCCACCCAGAAATCAACAACTCACCACAATCATACCCACCGGAGAACAAACACCCTCGGCTCCCCAATGCAGTTGAGTAGTCCTCCGGCGACGGTGTCGAGGTGCAGAAGTACAGAAATTGGCAAGGATATGGACATGGGAGAAGACGAGGAGCCGCAGGAAAGACAACGCCGGTTATCGCAAAAGGGAGATGCCGTGGATGGGTTGTTGAAGTTGATGGGGACGGGGGAGGGTGCTGGAACTGGGGTCGCGTGAGTGTAGGTGTTTTGAATTTTGCATTGAAATTTGGCTTATAGATGGTATTGGAGTCGGAGTTGGGATTCGTTGGACAAAATTGGATTTGGAGTGGAGTTTTGTTTACTCATGTCATTTATTTTGGAGAAGCGTGTATTAGTATGGGGTGGTGCATGTATGCGCCGGTGAAAGACATACACATAGATAGACAGACGTTACATACGTGACTGTACTCTGCACCAGCAATGGTTTCTCGAGGAAAGTCAATGATATGATACCAACAATGAAATGCAAATCAATTCTACATGCCATTGCTAAATAAACGACATTATATACATGGTAGTCAGGTGAAAACAGACACAACTACCGCACCTTCTTCAACTTATTCCTCTTCCTCCCCAAAACATCTCTCCCCTCCTCAATCTCGCCATTCGCCTCTCTCTTGGCCTCCCCAACCTCCTTCAACACACCCGTCCTAACAACCCTACCCTCAACACTAACCCCCTCCTCACTCCACTCCTCCATCTGCCTACCAACCCTCTCCTCAATCGCCAACACAAGACTCACATCCCTCTGCCCCACCAACGTCACCGACTCACCCTTCCTCCCTGCACGCGCCGTTCTACCCACCCGATGCACATAATCATCCGGATTCCTCGGCACATCGAAATTGACCACCAACTCCACAGACGGAATATCCAAACCACGAGACGCCACATCCGTCGCGACGAGCAACCTCGCCGCGGACGCTCGAAACCTCGCCAAGTTCGCATTCCGCTCCGACTGCGGCAGCAGACTATGCAGAGAAGTAACCCGGTGAGACAGTCTGCGGAGCATACGCTCCAGCAAGTCCGCAGTCTTGGTGTGGTTGCAGAAGATAATGGCTGGTTTGGAAGCGTTGGCTTCCGTGGAGAGGAGGACGTGAAGGAAGGCTTCGCGGTGGGTCATGGGGACTTTGAGGTAGGTTTGTTTGAGGGTGGGGGGGATGGAGGCGTTGTTTTCGGTGGAGATTTCCGTCACGAAGATGGGCGGTTTGGAGGCCGGGCGGGGCATGGATTTCAGAGCGCGTACTTCGGGGGTTAGGGTTGCTGTGAAGAGGAGGGTTTGGCGCTCGCTGGAGGGTGGGAGGGCCGATAGGCAGGTTTCGACGTCGGGGAGCATGCTGCCGTGTCCTGGGGAGAGGAGTCGGTCGGCTTCGTCGAGAACGACCATGCGGACGCGCTTCAGGCCGCGGATGGTGTCTGAGCCGGAGGTGTTGATGTGGTCGGCGAGACGGCCGGGCGTGGCGATCACGACGTGTGGGCGTTGCGCGAGCGCGAGGGCTTGGGGGCGCATGTCGGTGCCGCCGGTGATGAGGAGAGGTTTCATGCTTTGGGGGGCGGAGATGGCTTTGATTTGTTCGTAGATTTGGAGGGCGAGTTCACTAAGGTATGTAGGGTTAGCAATGGTGATTGATGGGTGATTGGGGGTGGGGGTGGAGGTTTGGCTAACCGAGTTGGAGTGAGGACAAGGCCGAAAATACCGAATGGATCCTCCGCCCATTTCTGCAGCATGGGGACTGAGAAGGCTATGGTCTTACCGGAACCAGTCCGGCTTCCACCAATGCAGTCCCGGCCGCTCAGGATCTCGGGGATACAAGCTTTCTGAATAGCGGTTGGTTTGCGAACGGCCATGGTGGTTAGAGAACCGATCAACCACGGTGCCACTTTTAGAGAGGCGAAGGAGTTCTGCGCTTCGTTGAGACCAATCTCCAGCGCATCTTTGATCAAAACGGGCTCGTCTTTATCCGATGTGGCGGGCTTCTTCTCTTCATCTGCGCCCTTCTTCTTGATACGGGAGAGAGTGGGGAGCGGCGCCGGGGCAACGTAGGAGTCGGTGGAAGACTCCGAGAGACGTCTTCTCTTGGGGGCGCGGGATTGCAGATCGGTCTGCTCGACCTCCGAGTCGGAGGATTCGTGGGAATCGTCCATAACGGGCTCTGAGGAGCTGGAGGACGACATGATTTGGGGTGGAAACTGGATGAAGATCTGATGCGCTTCGATTTTCTTCTAAATTTCGCGGCAGAAAAAGAAGTCCGCGCGGAGCGGTGAGGGACTTGCACTAACTTTATGGGGGATAGACTGCGTCGGAGATCGGGCCAATCAGAATGTCTGAACTACGTGAGTGAAATCTAGTCTTTTTCTGGATATAGTAATAGTTAAGATCATATTATTCAATTATTCATAAGTAAATATCTTATATTGTACAATTCAAGAAAAAATAACATCAAAGTTAAATATAATATAACTAAATATCCTTTGGAATGCTGAGCTTGGGCGGGCCCTCATCACTGACTTTTACTGCTGGTCGGAACTCAAGCATCAACCTATGAGAAAGCGGGTGAAGTCACTGGTACTCAATAAGAGAGATGAAGAATGGCATGATGCTGAAAGATGTCCATCTGTGATTAGATGCGCCATCGCTGCCTCAGCTCTCCCTCCGCGGCCTCTGCCCGAACAAAACCTACCTGGTCATCGGCCTCGACATTGACGCCCTCTTTCCTTCGAAGGATATATTAGATAAATCCAGAGAATTAAAAGGGAAAAATCTATAATAGTATCACTATGACTGTGTCTATCCTGGACTCTTCATAAAAATCTCACCATCCTTCCCAGAAATCTACATACTCTTCATCCAATCACGGGTTGACAGAATACGTTTCGTACTACTATGTGAGAGCCTATACATAAAATGCTCTCATTTACCTACTTAGATATCTACCTTTTTGATCATTTCATGATTCCAAACTCTCTTTCTTTCTCTCTTTCTCCAGGAGTTCATCCACATTGTAGGTCACCAACCATTCGCCGGCTGGCTCATGCTCTGGTAGTTTGATGTCTGGATTGTGCCTGTTTATGCCGCTGGCGAACAGCACCCGAGCATAGAGGGGGTCAAACACGAAAGTTGTTTCGCCGGTAACCCTGTTCTTTACTTTTGCCGTGGCTTCAATCTCGTCAATGGCGATGTACTCGTTTGGTTGCGGTACAGAGGCCCTCTCAATTTGTAGCTTAATATGCTGGGCTGTTTCGGGGTCAAATCGGGTATCGATGAAGTATAAGGAGTTGGGACCGGCTGCAGCCACGTAGGGAGTATCTGGTGCCACAACTTGGCCACCCCACTCGGTGTCAATCACTACCGGGATGTAACTACTATTCCGGTATTCCTCTTGGAAGGTTGGAGAGCCCTCGCATGGTCGGAACGGGTTTAGAAGCATGGTGATGAGTAGCAGTGGGAAGAGCATTATAAGGATCAGAGTAAAAATGAGGAGAAGAGAAAGTAGGCTATATCTAATGCTAACTTCGTAGGTCTGTGTGCAGATTTTATATCATGCTTCTGTCAGTAGCGTGGGAGTTCTGGTTTATGGCAGGGAGGATCATAGGTCCCTGCGCATAAAATACTTAAATTACTAAATTCGGTTACCAAAGCTACATCAGAAACAATTGGTCACTGCATTATTATGACAATGCTACCGTTACAGCCTCGGCGATGCCGGAATGAGGGGTTGGTTATCAAATGTGACTGCCTATGTTGGCTTGTGCTTGTGGTGCTGATTGCTTAAAGGGACTAGCAGTTCGACCTATCCTATAGGGCGAAGAGATATAAATTTATCTGTTCGTAATATAAAATAGCAGGGATTTGCTTCCATTTCGAAGCCCGGCGGGGTACCTCCTGAGTAGTACCCTTACTGGTGCCTCTGGAGCTAGCCCTGGAAATAGTATTGGTAACACAGTGGTGGTAGTCTTGGTAGAGCTCTCTAGGAGACAAATTAGGAATATCTTGCGATCTTAGTGGGCTTGCAGAATTCATAGGTCCACCGGTAACACTAACGATGTTTGCGCGCTGCTTCAAAGTAGGGTCCGTTCCACTAACTGTTAGGAGTCCAAACAGAGGCCGCCATGTTGTACCAATCAGCTCATGTAAGAACATTGGTTTAGACCCTAGAAACCCCGAGAAAGGAGAGACCTGAAAAAGACGCTTCTCAATTGAAGCAAGCCAGAGATAATATTTAGAATAGCTTCTGAAAACAATACTTGATAAGATAGTATGACAAATAAGGACTGACTTGGTGATTGTAGTAATCGAGTATACTTATCTCCTAGTCCCGCCGGAGCTCCGAAGAACTGACAAGGATTGTTCTTTATTAACTGTGTGGACTGAGTTGTATGGACGTGACTGGCCAAATCCACTTGGACAACCTCAACCCGCCAGGAGCGCTGATAAAATGCATATGGTAGGCCGGCGTGATCTAGACCTTCATGATGCATTACGCTAAGGGGAATGCCAGCAAAGCTGTCACCATCCAATGAAGTCCGCCCTCCAAGTTTCCAAGCCTAGGTGATCTGACAGCGCTGTGGTAGTGGTGGAACGTGGTGAAGCCCCAAGTTGGCTTTGGTCAGTGGCCATGAGATTGGCCGGATCGATGGCTACTTGACCCTCCCAACGACGAAAGGGAGGGCTACTCATATCAAGGTAGACTGGGCCGTCTGCATCCCTGGGGCCGAAGGTACTGTAGCTATGGTAGTGCGGAAATCGTGCTCGACGTAGATGATCAGCATGCAAACAAAATCTCTAGAGTCTTAAATCACCTCAGCTGGAGAGAAGGCGTTGGGGCACGTTTGAGGGCACACTGACACTTATGTCGAGGCTACTGTAGCCATGGTCACACCCTGTAGACCAACGAGGGAGAGGGAAGTCCTGTGCGGGCCTCCCCCGCTAGCAAGTAAAGCCCGCCTCTCTAAGGGATCGCACTATTTGCTTCAGACACATTATCGGGCAATCCTGGGACTCATATCATTTGCTGACTCCGTAGAGTCACCCTTCATTATGTCCATGACTGAAAAGTCTGAAGAAGCCGCGTTCAGCCTCAAATAGGTGGACGAGGAAGAGCTACCAATTCTTGAGTAAGCCTTCCCTTCCTTGCCCTCACGTGGCTTGGTATCATATTGCTAAACCTCGCCAAACGCGGGTTTGGGGCGGGTTTCTGTATAGAGGAACTGCCCATGGGTTACCCGCAAAAGCAAAAGAGGTTTTAGTATAAGAAAGTCTTTTATATTATTCTATAATATATATAGATTATTATAGATAGTGATACTGTTAGGGGTGATGTGGGAGACATAATAAGGTTAATTATATGTATGAAAACTAGCTATTGTTCTGCTTGAAACCGAGTACCGATCTTTTATGCTACTAAAAAGACAAGTAAGATATAATATAAGATTAATCATATATTCTTATTTAGTTTGTATAATTCATAATCTTGGATTAATTATATAATCCAGTAGTTAATTACCTTGCACAGAGTACTTCGGAGGAATTACTTGAAGAAGAGCAACGTTTGGTGGACAATATAATGCTGCATTCATCCTGCTGGGATTATACGTCAAAGGAACTGTCGACTGCAACTCATGCCATGCTAGGACGGCACTAAACCTGTACAAATCCCTCCCAAACTCGAATAATGATGGTTCACTCGAGGCCCAGCTGCCCAAACTCATCCGTGATTGTAACCCAAGGTAAAACGCCGGTTCATCAAATGCAAAGCGACATCCAACAACTATACACTCCAGTACCACGCCGTGGTGGTACCGGCGGCCGAAACCGACGGAGAAAAAAACAAAGAATAACAGATACAGCGCCAGGTTAACATGACTATTTGCGCTTAAAGAGCTGCATGAGGGAGGGTCTATATCATTGACAGATCATGAACGGTAGATGCCTGCTGTGAATCAGTCACCGGCCAAACTAGGCATGTAGTTTAGGTGTACTTACCTGGAAATGACTGTGGCGTCTGCCCGGCTCCCAGTCCCCGTGGAAGCGGAATCTGGGAGATCGAACTGGGCATATCGATCCTCCGAATCAGATCGACCATCCTTTCCGGAGAGAACTTCCCCGCGTTGTATGCTGAGGCAGAAGGTATAATGCTGAGAAGATAAACGATGTCGCGCGGCAGAGGTGCCGGTGATCCTTGTGACCGGAACTGGCCCCCGGACGGCCCACCCATGGTCTGCTGCGTGCGCTTCTGGTCCAGCTGGCGTCGCTGCGTCGTCTTGAGGGGAGACTCGGCACGCACGAATTTGCGCGGCCGAGCCATGTCGTCATCGAAGTCATCCAGCTGGCGTTTAGGCGAGTCTGTCGCAGACGCGTCCTGGTACCGCGCAGTAGGCGTGGCATGACGGGAAATGGCTTGCTCGGCCGGGTATGCCATTTTGGGACGTGTCTGAGAGGGAGAAATAATGGGTCGCACAGCAGTGGGATCGAAGCCAGGGGTCGCGTATCGGTGTGCGAATTGCTCCAGCGTGGGGTCCTCCGGGAACAGCTCGCGCATGCGGTTTTCGAGATTGATCACTTGCACAAGGTCACCGTACCGCGACTCATATTCGTGGAGGAAGGCAAAGATAGGCTTCGTCTTCTGGACGTTCTCGGGATTAGAAGCTAGCTTCCTAACCGTCATCTCGAAAACAGCCCGTGCATCTGGAGTCAGTTAGCATCGTATCCATAGACTATTAGCCATGAGCGTATACGTACTGATAACGTCGTTTATGTCAATAAGATGCTTCAGGTATTCCAGCGCAAAGTTTTCATCTTCAGGGAACAGCTTCGCACCACGCTCGAAGATCTTCGTTGCGGCAGGGTCCTTGTAGCAATGGTACTCAATGAGAGCACTGGCAATGTAGACATCACTGGTGATGCGACCCCGCTTGCGCGCATCTGCAAAGATCTGTCTCGAGCCCGGCATCTCCCCAGGCTTGCCCTTACCCTGGATGCGGCGCATGGCGCGCATCAGAGCAATCCAGGCAAAGGATATGGTCTTGGAAAGGATACCAATCTGTATGGCATGTGCTTGGCGGACCGCGTCGATCTGTGCGTTCTTGACGGACTCCCTCGCCTTCGCCTCACTCTGATCGTCCTCATCGTCCTCATTCTTTGTTGGTTGCTTCTCGGGATTCATCTTTGCGAAGGTCTCTTCGAGATGAGCAACATCTTGCTGCTCGCGAGTCCGGGCTTTGGCGATCAGATCGTAAAGCGAATCGAGGAGTCGGTCGTAGGGTTCTCTGACTTTGGCGCCGCGCTTGACGGGATCCTGCTCGGAATCAGAGTTGATTTCCAGCCAGTCCGCACGCTTAAATGCAAGCAAGCAGCTTTCTGGGTTGCCGTCGATGCCGTGCTTCAAAAACTCGTTCCCTTCGGTCTCCATGTCGTTGTGGAAGCAGAACTCAGCAGCTTCAAACCACAGCTCGGGAAGGAACCTAAGGGCCATGAGTGCTTGCTTATAGACATAAACTACACGCGTCCGGAAAACACTCATGTCCTCCTCCTTCAAGACAAGCGGGTCGCCCTTCTCCCAACTGATCCAGCGCTTCCAGATCTCGACCTGCTGCAGGAACTCGATATCACCGTCCGAACCCGGAACTGGAGGTAACCTCGGCAGCGTTGTCCGGTTGAGGTCCCTGGTGATGTTCTGCAATTCAGTGAAGGAGCTGCGGGCGGTCATGTACGCCGGAGACTGCTCCTGTAGGAACTTACGGCCCTGTACGAAAGAGAGATCATTGTTAGAGCGGATGTTCCACAGGGCGCTTTGTTAGAATCTTACTGTCAGCTTGTTCAGGCCCATCTCGAACTGATCATACTCTTTCCAGAGAGTATTGACAGCCTGGGTGGGTACCCCAATGGCCCGTTGGTAGGCTTTCCGGAGTAGGTCCATTTTCTGTTGATCCTGCCATCCAGAACCCCCGACGTTTCCTGGGCCGGAGCGGATGAACTGGACGTAGTCGGACCAGATGGACCCCGAATCCTTGTCGATACCGATGTGCTGCAGAGCCAACTCATAGGCCGATGAAATGATTCGTCTTGCTTGTCCGTTTGTGTCGGTGGTGAGGGGATTCCGGCGACGAACGTAGTCAAGGTATACCGTCCAGAGTTGCACGTCCGCAATCGTCAGCAGAGTCCGGTTGAAAATTTGCTCCAGGCGGAAGAGTTCATTCAGCTCGGACTCCATTGTCGCGTAAGCCACCCATTGCTCAGCCTTAAACCGTTAGTCGATTTGGTCGTCTCCCAAGGTATACAAAAGAGATCACTTACAGAAAATGGGAAAACCTTTAGAAAGCGCTCATATACATCGCGTGCGTTATCAATTCTATTGCGACTCCTGTGTTCGTTAATCAGTTCCAGCCAAGCGGGAATGTCACCACGGGGGTCTTCTTGGATGCGATCTTCCAGGATGCCAACCCGGTCGTGAGGCAAGCGGCCCCTGGCGGTCGAGGGCGATTCGGGGGTCACGGTGGTCCCATCCTGCGCCTGTTCCGACGGGGCAACACTTGCGCTGTACAGTTCCTGGCCCGAAGCCACCGACACATCATTTTTAGAAGCAGCAGGGAAAGAACTATTAGGGGCAGTCTTCGTGCTGGCAGACACTTGCGCAGCTTCATCCAATGATACATCAGGGGTAGAAGTAGCTTCATTTGCATTTCCTGAAATGGGTTGCGAAGGTATAGTATTCATGTCTTCGACACCTAGTACAGCTGGTGGCTCATAATCTGCCTCACCCGCCTCATCCTCATCCTCATCCTCGACCACAAAGCCCCCAATTGTCCTGGTCTTGGGCGGAACCGAGGCCCCAGTGGCGAGGCCCGATGCTGGTGTCTGGGACTCAGCTCGTGAAGGTGTCTCAGAAGGGAAGGCATTGCCAGCTGGCTGACTAGGGTCTGATTCAGGGGGGGCAGGCAGGGAAGTAGAGATGGTAGTGGTAGTGGTAGTAGTAGTTTGTTCGGGGGGATTGGAATTGGAAGGAGTAGCATCATGATCAGGAACATTGTCCGGTTGGTTGGAATCTGTCAAGGAAACAGAATACTGATCTGGCAGTGATTTGGAAGGATCATAGTCATCTGAATCTGAACTATCTGCATCCTGCTCTTCCACGGTCTTATAGTCTCCAGAGTCCGCATTCATAGCCTGAGCCTGGAAAAAGGCCTTTTCAGCATCATCTTCAGCCATGACCAAGGTGTGTGATTGAATGCGACAAGGGTATTATGAGATATATGTTAAGGGGGGAGGGGTGTTGGTAGTTGAGGGAGGGGGGAGCAACGGAGGAACCTGATTGAGTTTGATTAGCTGATTGAGGTCTTGAATGGGGGGAGACAGCAGAATGAGCGATGATGAATCGGTCATTCACTCATGAGAGAGGGGAAGGACCCACGACAGGCGGTAAGATGTTGGGGATGAACGAGGAGAGAGGGGAAGGTTCAGGGGAGAGACAGAATCTGCGTTTGGAGATAGGAGCGGGCGACAGACACGAGAGGCCGCTGGTGGATCAGCGACACTGACGACAAAGATGGAGTTCATCCGCTTCGAGAGCTTCTTTCTTTCTTTCTTTGCTTTGCCCGACCGGTGCTCGTCCACGTGACTTAGGCGGTGGGCGCGAACTTGGGCGCAGAAACACGCGGCGCGTCGTCGATCTTCCTGCCGCATGTTTAATTACTGCTGGCCGCTGCATCCCCATTCAGTTACCAGGAAGAGATCGTCTGCTCTTCTCTCTTCTCTTCTCTCTTCCCTCCTCCCTTTTCATACCTCTTATATACCTCCACAACCTTCTTGCCTCACTCTTCCCTTCATCATACTTCTCCACATCTAACACCTCTGGTTTACCACACCATCCTTTGCCTCCCCCTCTATCCCTCCATATTACTCCATCAAGCAGCTCGCTCCACTACCGCCCCTCCATCGCTATGTCGGTCGTTTCTCTTCTTGGCGTGAAAATCGTCAATAACCCTGCCTCTTTCCTCGACCCCTATCAATTCGAGATCACGTTTGAATGTCTTGAACAGCTGCAGAAAGGTACGCTGTGAACCCCGCTCCTGTGAATTGGCCGTCGCTAATGAGTTTCCAGATCTGGAGTGGAAGCTCACCTATGTCGGTTCGGCGACATCGTAAGTTGGACCTAGACCGAGATAAAATCCAATTTACCTGCTAATAACCTTCTTCTCTAGCTCCGAATATGACCAGGAACTCGACTCCCTGCTGGTGGGACCGATCCCCGTCGGTGTCAACAAATTCATCTTCGAGGCCGACCCCCCAGACCTCAAGCGCATCCCTACTTCCGAAATTCTGGGAGTCACCGTGATTCTTCTCACTTGCAGCTACGACGGCAGAGAATTCGTCCGTGTTGGCTACTACGTAAATAATGAATACGATTCTGAGGAGCTCATGGAGCAGCCGCCGGCTCGGCCCATCATCGAGCGCATTCGTCGGAACATCCTTGCTGAGAAGCCCAGAGTAACCCGCTTTGCCATCAAGTGGTGAGTGCCCTGTTTATATTTCTTTGCCATACGATACTAACAGCTACCGCCTAGGGACTCTGAGGAATCTGCCCCCGCTGAATACCCGCCGGACCAGCCCGAAGCCGACCAGGAGGGCGATGACAGTGCTGCCTACGGTGCAGAGGAAGCAGAGCTGGAAGCAGCCCTCTTCAAGGAGCTCAACGATCTGGAGCCCAAGACCGAAGACCAAGAGATGGAGGGTACCGAGGGCCCTGCCGCCAAGGAGGAAGAGGAGGAAGACATCTCGGACGCCGAGTCCGAGGACATCGAAGATGAGAGCGACGAAGATGAGGAGGAGCTCGACGAGGAAGAGGGCGACGATGGCGATGAGGACGTCGAGATGGGCGATGATTCCGAGCAGAAGGATGAATCCGCCGGAGGCGCCAGCAACAACAATCCCGCGGCCCATCAACAACAGCCCGAGCTGATGGTGCACTAAAGCAACTGAAGAGCCTCGAAGTTATACTACATTTCTTTATTCCTATCTGTCGAATGATTTTACGATTGGGTTGCAACGTGTTTCATGACAACATATCATCTATCATATCCCTGCAAGTATTTAGCTTTATGACATAGACCCGACCAGCCAAACCAACATAATTCGAAAAAATGCACATACTTGATTTTCACCTTTCCTTCTTCACTACTATCTTACCCCTCCACATTCCTCACCGCATCAAATGCAAGGGCAATCTGAAGAATCAAAACTACCATGGCAACTGCATGCATCCCTAACAGTGTACATTACTACATTGGGGAGAACCAACGCAAGGCCGAAAGCAAAATTCCCAACAGGGTAAAATCCAAACAACCAAGTAGCCTGCATTATGGCATTGATCTACAATACATACATACATACATCATACAAAACTTGTCCTATATCGAGTAATATTAATTCCCGCTTTTCTGCTGTGTAACTTCACCACTTAACAACTCTTTATTGTTCGAATCTGGCCCAATTCACTCTCCTGACGACAACAATGCAGAAAAGGAAGTGTTATTGAGCTTTACAATAGTTAGTTGATTAGTACTTGGTACTATAGCGATCAGCATAATGATCCTTGATATCATTCGTCTGAAAGGCAACCCAAATATCCTTTGAATTTATTCTTCCACTTGAAAGATGTTAGGTTAAAAAGTCTGCGGTGAAGACAGAGTATATCTAGTCACCCGAAAAGTAGGTGAGAAAAGGATTGAAGCAAGGAAAGTGAAGTAGTATCCTTCCTACATAGCAGTTAGTACCTATAGGTAGTTGCTTTCTTTTACTTGCTATGGTAAGGGGGAGGGAGAGGGGTCCTTGCGCTTGCGTAAGGTTTCTTTCTTTCTTTCTTTCTTTCTCTCTTTCTTGTCTTCTTTTGGTGGAGATCGATTGTATGTTGTGGGGAGTGTTACTATGGCTGTCTATGGGAATAGAGAGTTGGTGATGAGTGTGGATGTATTCTTGATTAGTTATTGGGGAAAGAGGTAAGTTCTAAGTAGAATCAACCTAACATTTACTATTCATGATGATTGCTGGGTAAGCTCAGCCCAGTTGTGTTTAGTTGCGGTGTATTGGATTCAAGAAATGTTTTTACTGTGTGGATAAGATAAAATATCTGCTCTCTGCACAAACACAAGGCCGCTACATTACTTTAAGGGATTGAATATCCCAAAGAAGCTCGATCGAATCCTGAATCACTTTATTGAACACAGAAATATCACTCAAAAACGCCAACAAAAGCATGGGTATGGTATGGTATGGTATGGTAGGAATAATGGGTCTAATGTACTCAGTCGTTACTGCTGAACGCTTCTTTTTCTTCTCCGTGTCACTGTAGTATGCATCTAGAAGCCGAACTTCGAGCCGAGTGCTATAAATCCGTTAGCTTAGTCTTTGAGAAAGAGGAGGGATACTTACCGCCAAGAACTGCCTTCTTCTTCTGGTTACTGACAAACTTGTTCACGTCGCGAGCCCAGTTGCTGCTGCTCTCTTCCAGCCGATCCATGCTATCGCCGGCAAAGTTGAGCCGTTCGGTGCGTTCCTGCACTTGGCGCGACATGTACGACAAGTATCCTTCCTGGCTGCTCGACGATTTGTTCGTCGGGGTTCTGCCTTCCCGGAATGCTTTGCGGCGCTCCTCTTCGTCTAGGCGCATCTGCTCCTGCATGCGCTTGGATGGTGGCCGGTCGGGACCGCCGACTGTTATGGGTCAGTCGCTAATTGTAGGCTAGTTAGGGGAGTATACGTACTGAGAATGTCCATATCGGCTGGGGAAACATATTGAGTTCCTGAGATCCACTGGATGTTGGTGATCGTGGGTCGTGGGGGCATGACGGCTTGCGGGTTGTAGAGCTGGTCTTCGGACTGGCGTCTATATAGACTGTTAGTATCCACAGCCCTGAAATAAGATGATAGGTGTTGCCTACAGTGCGTGTCCTCCTCCCCAAACACTGAATAAGCCCACTTCAGAAGGACTGGTCCAGACCATGACAGTGCCGTTGGAGGAGATCGTGGCATCCGAGAGGCGTCTCATATCAGCGATCTGGTTGATTGGGCTGGCGCCAATCTCTTTCAGACCAGGGATCGAGAACGCTCGCGTGTATCCGTCTCCGAAAAGTCCAACCAGACTGTATCCGCGAGCCTCGGTCTTGACAACCGCGGCGGAATCGCAAAGGTAGTCATCCCAGGACCTATGAGCACCCTTGGAAGTTGCTGGCTTGAAGATTCTGCACCCAGAAACAGTCACCGCGACGACGACACCATGAACGCGGACACCGTTTCTCAAACCTCCGACAGAATTGGGGGTGGCCAATGCAAGTCCGCCGTCGTCTGCGTTGACGGGGATGATGTTGATAACCTTGTCATCCAGCAAGCTTGTGCCGACAAATTGAGCACAGTAGCGCCCACCCTCCCCTGGCAGAATCTTGAATGTGGCCAGGTTGCCTCTGTTAGTACCCACGAAGCAGCAAATACTGGAATAGTCTGCGAGACGTCAGCACCATCTACATCACATAGACTAGTATTCTCACCTTCACCCTCAAGAGTCAGCACACCAAACTCAATGCTGGTGGGCCATTCAGGAGCCGGGCTCTCAGAGCTGCGCTTATTGAAGATACTGCCTCGCTTGTTCACCTTGAACAGCTCAGAAAAGTGAGCTGTGTGGATGATTGCGGGCCCGCGCAAATCCAGGATTGCTAGACTACCTCCTTCGAATCCAACAGCGACAAAGCCCACTTGACTATGCTTCAAGGCAGTTACTGGGCCTTGCTGCATGTTCAGGAGTGTCAGTGGAAGGATACCCGTCTTCAGTCCAGGGTCGACTCTGTGAGTGATCTTGGTCAATTTTCCAGGCCCTTCGTTGACACCTGGAGCCTCTTCACGACCAAAGCTCTGGTTGTTTCCCCATCGGAAGACGACAAGCTCGCCGGTGCGCAAGCCGACTGAGAGCTCACCCGTTGAGCCTCCAAAAGACATCTCGGTCACCTCTACGTTTCCGACACGGCCAACAGCTCGGGCCAGGTCCACTTGAACGACGTCCCCGTTTTCGATCTCGTCATCAACACCAGCATCCCAGATGCGAATAGTGCCATCGGCATGAGCCGTCGTAAGAACATTACGATCTTCGAAGCGCTTTAACGGCTTCCTTACCTCCGCCCCTCCGAGCAAAAACTTAGGTCCCTGTGATCTTTTCTCCTTCAAACCCAGCCAGGCAGAACGATCGACTGACGTCAGGGTGACCTTGTTCACGAAGGGATGCACGAAACTAAGGTAAGGATGGAGCATGTTTGTCGGAGTGATGGGATGACCACTAGGGAAGCTCATCGTGATGACTTCTCCTGAGGATAAGAGGGCGAGCAATGCGATGGGGTCATGGGCGCCGCCATAGTATGGAGTACTACGAGGGATGGGGCAGAAGTCGACCACCTCCGCACCGGGGGGAGTAGGTAGGATTGCGGTGCGTTTCGGGGTCTCAAAGTACTTTGCGATCATTGCCCACGAGGAAGTCTGGTAATTAGGGGTTGGTCCCAGGTCGATGAAAGTCAGCCCTTTGTTGGCTTCAGCTTTCGGTCGACCGCCAGCGATCAATAGTCCACTGTCATCTCCGTTGTCTTTCACACACCATGCGATGTTGGTGATTGGGTCCTTGAGCCCGGTAGCCGACTGGGGTCGTTCGGCGCTTACTCCCGGCTGGTCAACGTTGGGGGTATTGATAGATCTCGCCATAATTTTGCGGCCGTCCTTCGAGTCCCAGAAAACCAAGCTATTATCGTCATGCACCGTCAACACGAAAATACCGTTCGGGTGCCAGAGGGCCCTAGTCAGTCGAGGCCGGCGCATTTCCGACGCAGGAACATCACCATTTCCTCCCAGAGCACCGGGTGGGACCTCATATTCGAAATACTTTTGAGCAACATTCTGCTTGAAGGAAAACGTCACAGCACCTTCCGGGTATCCCACCAAGATCTTCCCAATATCCCTAGGCGAGAAGGAGAGACTGAGAACAGGACAAAGGCGAACACGGGCATTGCGCTGAGCCCACAAGTTGGGCACACGGAACGGCGTCAAAGTTTCACGATCCAGATCGTAGGCAATGATATCACCTAATCAAGGATACCTCGTCAGCACGAGAAACATCACAATCCAATTCAATATACCCCATACCGTTCTGTAATCCAATAAAAGCATAATCGAGACTCGGGTCGGTCAGTAGAGCGCTCGCATGACTCGGCGGAGCATACGAGACAAGCGTCTGTCTAGTTTCCAAGGAGAAGATACTGATTTCACTTTTCGAGTCGACACTGACGAGCTTATCGGCGCAGAACTGAATGAACTTGGCAGACGCCTTCCGCGGTAGCGAGAACACCACCGCTACTCGTCGTTGACCGAAGACGTAGATCTGACCATGGCCGAATTGTGTGTCGCTTGTTCCGACGGCGAGGAGCGACTGGACGGGATCGTACGCGATCGCACTGATCTGGGAGTTTATACCGCACCGAGCGAACTATGAACAGCAACAGCAGGAGATTAGCATACAATGCGTGAGACAGGATCAAATAAGGCAGATGTCGGGGGCGTTGCTTAGTGATATACATCATCGAGGGCGAACAAGTCCGGCGACAAGTTCTCGGAGAAGTCCTTTTGAATGCCGGCCTGCTTTCCCCGCAGAAAATGCGCCATTCTGGCGGACACGGAACGGAAGGGATGAGGTTGGAGAGGAGGAGAAGAGGGAAAGGAAGATGAGAAGTCGCTTGAGAGATAGTATATAAGAGCTACTTAAATTATAAAATGACAATAAAAATAAGGCTGCGACGACACCCCGCGGCAGAGGAGCAAGAAGAGGAGGAAGAAGTGGTCTTTCAATGACAACCGCGGAAATCCACCCAAACGGTTGACGCCATTAAGGCTGACTGACCTTTGAAGGTGATTGACTAGTTCAGCTTAGTGTGTTTTGCCCCGCCCGCCGCGGGATTCAATGGGGATCCCTTGCTGGCTCGCGCTTGTTGAAGATTACAATGATGATCAATATTTCTCTCCTACTACTCAATTGTGTGTAGGGCTCTACTTTACCATGTTTACCAATAAAACTCTTCGTATGGTTCCAGTACAGAATGAGTTCGTATTTTCTCAGGAACCAAATCTCTCATCTGGGTGGAAATCAGCTTCCAAAGGAGGACTTCGCCAAACTTCGTAGGCAGCAACAAATTATCGCCAAGACAGCTTCCATGCCGACATGACCGAATCTTGCATTGCACTATTGACTTTCATTTTCATATGATTTCTCCGCAACCCATCAACGTCGTAATCATCATGTAGGCCTATGATCGAACACTGTGCTATGTAGCACTAGGGACCTTTCCCATTCTTGAGACTCCCAAAGTCTGGCTGCAGATCGGCCCGGCCGATCGAGCCAACTAATTTGTGTCTCAGATCCATCTATATAATCTTCCAGGATACATCAATGTCCCTGGGTATCGCAAGTTAACATAAAGTGCAAATTCCGTCTACCGAGGCCATTTCAGCTAATATCGACGTTAGTCGTCTCCTAGCATCGATCTCGGCGGCCATTCCCTGATCGCGGTAGTAGTGTATCGTAACCTGGTGCACAGCACGATAGCAGGCATACCTAGGAGGTCGACAGTCAGCACACAGACTATATACCACCTTCTGCAGTCTCATCTAGAGATCACATACAGTAATTGACGGGCCACCTGGGCCTTATTTGCCTTCAGTCGAGTACCAAAGCCCTCCAACACAGCGGGAGACGGCGCCTCAAAGATCTCCGCCATATGCACATCACCCCAGAGAGTATTCTCAAGCCCTAGGAGCCCTGCGAGCTTCTTCGACCCCGGATTCAGCACCACCTGCGACGGTCGGCCTAGTCCAACAATCACTAGTTGCGGTGACGTGATTTCCTCGAGTGCAGGGGACAGCCGACGAACTTGGTTTCGAATCTCCGCATAGGGAAGATGAACAAAGGCATCTTCAGAGTCCCGAAGAATGCCTTCTAAAAGTGTCACGAACGCTTCTCGCCAGGACTGCTTCCCCGATCCACAGGCTACCTGGTCTAGTGAGCCGAAGGAACTGGAGAAATTCTGTCCGATCTCACGAGCTAATGACCCCAAAGCCCGGTTGAGATCATCCCGCTCTTGCATGGTAAGCGCTGCTTCCAGCTCCTGCAGTGTCGCCCCGTTGATATAGTGTCTTACTAAAAAGGCAGAGCCCAAGGGTCCCCCATGGAGACCATAATGCAGAAAAGATGGGATATATGGAGTTTCCTGTTGAACCAGGATGGAGTGAGCACGGGCTTCAGTCTCAAGTAGAAGCTGTTCTCGTCGTAAGAGAGGTGTTGTCGACCCTGGGGAACACTTCAGAAGCAGCTGGACCCCATTCGATAGTACAACACGGCTGATTGAATGTAGGTGGCCCTTAAGCGGGTAGACTCCTTTGACCTGCACCGAAGAAGAAAAGTGGCGTTGAAGGATGGAGCCGAGAGTATAAGAAGGTTCAAGGTCAGGAACTAAGATAGTAGATAAAGAAGGCGACATTTCGCGCAACACTTTAGCTCTTCTGCTTCAGCGCTCGCATGCTCGCTACTAGTACAAGATATAATTATGATGACCCATATTGCTGGGGGAAAGTAAGCAAATATAACCTGAGCGAGCAAATCTTTACTGCAGTCATCGGGGAGAAAGACCAGGCGGCCGCAACCCGGGGATACAATGGGGCCCGGACATGGAACAGAGGTAAGACGCAGGTTACTGCAATCGAACAAGGAAGGTAATAGATTGTCTAAGCCCACAAAGCATCACAGCTCAGTAATACTAGGAACAGGGAAACCAGTCGATCGATCTCGTTTCTGAGCGTCAGATGATGGAGGAACCCCGTACCGAGGACAAGGAGCATATCCCTTATTTGAAAACATTAAGCGAAGCGGAAGATCCATATCCGAAGCCCCTTACTGAAGGGGACATCCGTCCGGGATCCCCACTGTTAAAATTGGAGAAAGAAGACCCCAAGAAGCATCATTGGAGTATTGGCCAGGAAGTGAAGGAAAGAGTTGTGATCCATGGAGACGCAGCTCGCCTAAGGCTCCCGCTCTGAGAAAGGCGCCATGCAGGGTGCATCCACGCCGGGCCAATCACAGGCGGGCCTTGCCGAATGCGCATCTCCCCGGTTGTATCGGCCGGATCGAATGCCGATGTTGCAGCGGACTCAATCTATTTAGTTTCCATAGTCTATGCATAGAATAAAGTAGTACTACTACTACGATGATATATCTTGCCTGCTATCTGGTTACCATTCGCACAATGTTCGCAGAAGGTAGGCGGCTTGTGCCGCCTTATGTATTTTGTGCTTCTTGGGTAACTTTGGGCACAACCCTGTTCTGTTTGGCCTCCGATCAGGCTATTGGCAGCCGGACCGTCCCTCGAGTGGGGATTAAATGAACTATGCTTCCCCTTGCCATAGCCTCTTATCTCTTAATTACACCATTTCGAACCGAAATGCCGGTTTCTACGCATCATGTGTCGGCTCTAAAGTTCATGTGGCTCATAGAGCGGAAATCTGGAAGAGAGGCCGTTCCGGTTGTTAGGATATCGCGAACTTTGTATATACACATTTCTAGCTTTTGTCTTCGTGGAGCTTGATGAGGCGATCGCACTTTGCCACTTATTCAAGAGTTGCCCGACGCCAATTGTTCGCCCAAAAGTTACTCGGGGAGAATGTGGGGTTAGTCCTTCGTAGATTCAGCGGCCTCTGCCTCTGAAGTAGCTGCTGGACTGTATAACTCGGCCAGGTTATACTTCTTTAACCGATCGTAGTCGCTTCCGGCAACACTCATGCCAATGACATTCTGATAATTTACTGTCAGTAATGGGTTCTGAATGAGTGGCATAGAAGCCACGGCCGTAGAGAACTGACCTGGATAACGGTGACGAGGATGATCAAGTCATAGTTCTTGAGATCAACAGGATGCTCGGGCCCCACGACATCTGCAACAGTCTTGATGACGATGTCGCGGTTGAACTTCTTGTTGCTTCTCACGACAGGTCGAATTGCGTACTGAAATACTCTGGTTAATGAAATTTCATGACCGTCTAAACCTTAGCGAGACTCACCTTCTTGGGAGGCCCCCCGGAATGGAAATGCGGTTTGAGGACTTCCCGTGCAAAAGACTCCAGGTCGACACTGAGAGTTTTGCGAACGGAAATTGCAGGTGTCATGCGTTGGATGTATCGGGATCGCTTCTTTTCAGGGTTGGCAGCTGCGTCTAAGCAAAGCTTATGTACCATTTCCTCTGGATTGATGGATTTGTCAAACCGCACAAACAACACTGAAACATATTAGTGTCTCTCAAACTTAGATCGATTTCAGGGAGGATATTGAGGGTAACGCACGACACGGCAAATCCATTCTGATGGCATGAAAAGGGCGCGCCTTGCTCGCGCTGGGCTTCAGTCCTTCGACCTCTTTTCTGATTAGGGCCTCGATGTCATCATCGTCATCCTCCTCATCCGAGTCGGGCTTGTCTCCATGACTGTCACTGCTGGATGACTCCACACTCTGGAGAAAAAACAAAATAAGTCAGATGGAGGAGCATATTAGACCGTATCAATCTGCCAGATACCGTGGGTTTCCTTCTATGCGTAAAGCCTGCCCTTCATGCTACTAACCTGCGAGAAAACATCCACTACCTCTGCCATACACTTTCCTTCCTTTCCCAAGTCGCACGACACGAAGACTCCCCAGTCGCCTCCCTCAATGCCCGACTTGTTGCCTTGTTGGTGTTTCTGCCATTGGCCACCTCCCTGTGCCGCCACCCGTTAGATATTAATTACCAGATACGAAAAAGCCAATGGGCAGACGTTTGTGGTCAACATGCCACGGACATCAGATGGGGCGAACCTTTCTTTTCTTAGCAGGCTGAACGGATTTCCTATCAGGCATGGCTCTCTTCCCTGATCCAGCCATCGACATATGTTAATGCGCGGGTGAATGAGATGGGATGCCGGTACGGGATTTGTGCGTGGGCAAGTGGGGAGGGGAATTGACCGCGGGAGGTGCACGCACATTGCCCGGTTGTCCGAGTTGGCAGGGAAGATTCAAGCTTAGTGGTGAGATTAAGCTGGTCCTAGAAGTTCTAGATGCACTACTGGTGACACGAGAGTTCCCAACAGATAAGGGTAGGCATGGCGCGGGGGGGTTTAAAATTCCACAAAAGGAATAGCGGCAAAGCGGGCGATCATCATCCCACTTGGTGGAGTGACGGCCGGTTACTTGCTGCGTTCTTACTGCAAAGTGGTTTCGGCCGGATTGACTTGCTTGCTTTTTGAAAATTAGTGCACCTGCCGTTATCAGTTTATCGCTGCTTCCGCAGCATCTCTTACTTCCAGGGATCCGCCATAGCTTATTTGACAGCAATATACGATCAAACCACACCATCCATGCCATCATGGTCGGAGATCTCCTGGAATTCACGCAAAGCATCAAATACCTATCCAGTAGGAATGATCCCGGAGATCCCGCTGCCATTCACCGTCGCATGGTGTGGCTGTTTGCGTGAGTATCGTAGTTCGGTGACACTATTTTTGTCTCGAGTTCCACCTCTACAGCATGACATCACGCGTGCCCTTTTCATTCATGACGTACGGCCACACTGGGTTCCAGACCAGACTCCCTGGTTGCGACAGTCTGAGGCACCTATTAATACTCTTTCACTCCTCAACACTTAGTAAATATCATCTTCTCAGACACATCCACTACTTCTCGCGCTTCTTTCCATACTAGCTTTATCAACCCCCATCTTCTCACACTGTTCAATTCATCGTGATGGCGACCGATATCGCTACCCGGGATCTTCGGAAGCCCATCACAGTTGCGGAGTACCTCTTCCGTCGTTTGCACGAGGTTGGCGTTCGCTCTGTGCATGGCGTTCCAGGTGCGACTTACTTTGGGGGATTTCGGGAGTGCTTGATCCCGCTAACCATCATGAATTATACTAGGCGACTACAACCTCGCAGCCTTAGACTATCTGCCAAAGTGTGGCCTCCATTGGGTGGGCAATTGCAATGAACTCAACGCCGGTATGCCCGAACCAATCCTACTGTTGGAATTGTACCACCTTGGTGGCAATCATTGTCATAACTAACGTAGACAACTTACAGGATATGCCGCCGACGGCTATGCTCGAGTCAACGGAATCGGTGCCCTGATTACCACCTTCGGCGTGGGTGAGCTTTCAGCGCTCAATGCCATCGCTGGTTCGTATTCCGAGTTTGTGCCAATTGTTCATATCGTGGGTCAGCCCAACACCAAGTCTCAGAAGGATGGCATGTTGCTGCACCACACCTTGGGAAACGGCGACTTCAATGTGTTTGCGAAGATGAGTGCAGGCATCTCCTGTACCCTCGGTCGGTTGAACGAGACACTGGAGGCTGCAACACTTATCGACAACGCCATCCGTGAATGCTGGATTCGTAGTCGACCCGTCTACATCAGTCTCCCCACCGACATGATTACCAAGCAGATTGAAGGTGACCGCCTCGACAAACCGCTGGATCTCTCTCTACCGACAAATGACCCTGAGAAGGAAGATTATGTGGTGGACGTTGTCCTGAAGTACTTGCATGCTGCAAAGAAACCGGTCATCCTGGTGGATGCTTGTGCCATCCGTCATCGGGTCCTTGACGAAGTTCATGACTTGATGGAGGCTTCCGGCCTGCCTACCTTCGTGGCTCCGATGGGCAAGGGAGCAGTAGATGAGACTCGCCCGAACTACGGCGGTGTGTATGCTGGCACTGGATCGAACGCGGGTGTTCGTGAGCAAGTCGAGTCTTCCGATCTTATTCTGAGCATCGGTGCTATCAAGTCGGACTTCAACACCAGCGGTTTCTCCTATCACATCGGACAGCTCAACACCATTGATTTCCACAGCACTTACGTGCGTGTGCGATACTCTGAATATCCAGAGATCAACATGAAGGGAGTTTTGCGCAAAGTCATTCAGAGGATGGGTGCTGTCAATGCCGCGCCAGTCCCGCATCTCTCCAACACGCTTCCTGAGAGCGAGAAAACTTCGAGCAACCAGGAGATCACGCACGACTGGCTCTGGCCCAATGTTGGTCAGTGGCTGAAGGAGAATGACATTGTTATCACCGAGACGGGTACTGCCAACTTTGGCATCTGGGAAACCCGATTCCCGGCGAACGTCACGGCCATTAGCCAAGTCCTGTGGGGTAGCATTGGTTACTCGGTTGGGGCATGTCAAGGTGCTGCACTGGCGGCGAAGGAATTGGGCAATCGTCGGACTGTTCTGTTCGTTGGTGACGGAAGTCTTCAGCTCACCGTGCAGGAACTGAGCACCATGATCCGAAACAATCTCAACCCCATTATGTGAGTGTTCCCTACGGCGATAAGCTCCAGGTTGTAACGGTACTGACTGAATCAAGCTTCGTCATTTGCAATAACGGATACACCATTGAGCGATACATCCACGGATGGGACGAAAGCTACAATGACATCCAGCCCTGGGATATTGAGGGTCTGCCCCGGGCCTTTGGAGCCAAGGACAAGTACACGGGCTACAAAGTAAAGACGCGGGATGAGCTGAGGCAGCTATTTGCAAACCAGGAGTTTGCTTCTGCGCCACACTTGCAAGTAAGTAATACATTGCCCTAGCATTTCAATCCTGTCCAGGAGAGCGCTGACCAAGACGGCACAGTTGGTGGAGCTTCACATGCCCCGTGATGATGCTCCCGCCGCGTTGAAAATCACGGCTGAGGCGGCGGCCACCAGAAACAAGTAACGGAGGATCCCCAGGGCCTTGAGGCAATCTCGCTTCTTCCTGTTAATGCCTTTCTCCCCTTTCTTTTAGCTTGACCTGTCACTCCTGGAGAGGAACAGACATGACTCTGAAGCGGTAGTGTAATTGCAGAATACGAAATCTAATGAATTCCAGTCAAGTTGTATGCGCACGTGCCCTTTCCGTACTTGCGATTTGGGGTCTTGGGGGGTGCGTTTAGGGAGTCTAGTGCTTATCATACCTTCCTAATGCCAAGGGAAAACATAGTGGAACTAGCTTGATAGTCAGCCAGCCATCCAACGTGCCGTGTGAGACAGTCCAAAGTTGGGGAGGAATGGCAAGCAGATAGATAAACACATTGGCAACGGACAGTAGTACAAATGTAGTTAGTAAGCTTGAGTACGAACCAGCCCAATTGAGGAGGAATCAAGTAGGAAAAGGGGTGAGATGAGTAGTTCTCTAGGGCTGAACACTACAGGGGCAACAACTGTCAGAGTGGAATGGAAGGGTTGGCCCACCTTTCACTTGGGTGGAACTAAGAAGCCCATGGAAAGGTGACGGAAAAGGGGAGAGACAGCGAGAAAAAAGGGACTGACTTTGTTTGGGCAGCTTATCGGGGGGAGGCCACCACGTGATCGACGGGAAGGACAGACAAGTCGCAGGCGCTAAGGCGGCCAGCGCATCAAAGCTCCTCAGGATTTCCCTGGGCGGGCCGCGACACACGGCGACAGGTTAGATTACTTTCTCATTCAAAGTATCTACCCCATATGAATCTGGCGAGCAGGCCTCTGTCCCTTTCCCTTGACGAAACACCTAATTAATCTATACGGTGGACTGCTAATTTGCCGCCACCTGCCACTAATCCACCGTGCGGTCGAATCCCCAGCGGTTTTGCTAATGGTATGTCTTAGCTTCCCCGTTGAGCCTTCCGCCGCATCATTTCCCCCCCCCCCCCCTCTCCCCTCTCTCCCCTTCGACTAGTATTAAACTAGAGGGGACTGGACTTGTCCCGACTATTAGGGGCTGATTGCCGCAATCTTTTCCGGACCATTTGACTTACTTTAGGAGATCCAGCTATCTTTAAGGATTTGACACACCCCTCTGAAGAACGCCCAACTTGTTCCTTTCGCTACGGTTTGCGTCTGCAGCTCGACTTGCGTGTGACCTCTCCGGTTTCCAGCCTCCTCCTTCCCATCCCCCGTCCATTCCCCGATCAGGTGGAAAAAGCTGATGCCGTCCCTCTGCTCCCTCCGCTCCTGCTTACGTACTGTCGTTCGCTCCGATCTGGACGCTATTTGCGCTTGATTGACGTGCTTCGAGAAGGGTCGATTGCCTGCTCTTCCATCCTGGTCGCTGAAAGTACCGCTCCAAGTGCTGCTCGGACCGAGGGGCATCATCGGTTGCGTCGTGTCGGCTTGTTCTAGCTCTGACAATGTGGGATTGCCTTGGGTCCTAAGCTTTCATGGTCTATCAGTCCCCACTTCAGGGACAAGTTTGATTGCGCAGCCCCGTGAGGTATATGAGAGCAGAACCTTATTGGGTTCCCAGGACAACTTGTCTGCTCATTAGACTCCGACATCCGCCTCCTTGCATCAATCCATTGGAGACGTCGCAGACATCGCCAATATGGACGGTCAACGGCCGCAGCAGTACATCCCCGTACCCCCGCCTTCGTCGGCGACACAACCCTCCCAATCGCACATAATACCTTTACCACCGCCACCGCCTCGTTATCCTCCTACTCAGTCGCAGGGCGTTATGCTTCCGCCACCCCCGGGACCACCGCCAGGGACAGCATATGGCACCTCCAAGCTTACCAATCCCCAACTGCAACATCAGAATACACTTGGGTGGCAGCAGCAGAGCTGGGCACGGCAGGCACTCTCACAAGGGTATCTTCCACCTCCTCCGCCTCCCCCTATGGTCCCTGCGAATCAATCTCCATACGGGCGTCCTGCAGCTTTGTCGATTCCCTCCGCTGAAACTCGGACATCTGCGACTTACGTTCCTCAAGCTGGTACTTTTGGGCCGGGGGTCGGGATTCCACCCTTTGACGTACACTCGAACCCCACGTACGACGGTGCGGGGACAATGCAGCCCAGCGACAGACAGCGGAACCCATCCACCCAAGCCTACGACTATCCGGCCACCGACTCTTCTCCGTATAAACGGGATGCCAATGTCCCTGCCACCCCTTCTGCGACTCGCAATCTACCTTCCTCCCTAGCTGTCAATGATGGTGCTCATGATATGGCTTCAGTCAACTACTCTGCCACGAACCTGCAAAACTCGCTACAACAGGCATCTGCGCCATCTTCGGAACTGACCACATCGGGCAGTCATCGCCACAACCACAATACATTGCTTGGAGGTATGTCGCCAAATGAGGCCTCAGTCCAGTGGCCTCTCGATCGTGTCCTCCAATGGCTTGCGAATAATGGATTCTCCACGGACTGGCAGGAAACATTCAGGTCCTTGGAAATTCAAGGTGCCGACTTCCTTGAGCTAGGGCATGGGTCAAATGGCCGCCCTAATCTAGGCAAGATGCACCAGGTGGTCTATCCTCATCTTGCAAAAGTGTGCGAAGCAAGCGGCACTCCCTGGGATCAAATCCGTGAACGGGAAGAGGGAAAACGTATGCGCCGCTTGATCAAGAAGATCCATGATGACGGCACTTATGATACCGAGATCTCTATTCAAAAGCGACGCGATTCTCACCCCATGAGCGCCCACGATGGCGCGCCTGATGCTTCGCCGAAATTAACTTACGAGCCCAGGTCCGCGGGTCCTACAGGGAATATCACGAACAGCCCTAATCTCAAGGCCCCACAGCCCGCATATGGACAAAGACAGAGCGTTCAGATGCGTTCTTTTACAACGCCCATACCCACCACCCATGATCATGCATCTTCCGAGCTTGCTCCGAGCGAAGCTAATACAATGTGGTCCCGGTCGGACTATTCGCGAGCTGTTTTGTCTAGCATTGGCGGCGAGCATCACAGGCAGAGCCCTTCGATGTCCAGCGATGGCGGAACATTTCAGATACCTATTAGATCCTACGAGGACAGTCCCAAGAGTGGCAGTCCAGCAGCGCAGCATGCTACTCTTGCACACACAGGCCCCTCGTCATCCACGGGAGATCTAGGCGTCAAGTTCGAGCACTCACGCGGCAACAGTTCGGATTCGACGACTGGTCGCCGGTATTATGAATCCATCAGGCAAGACGGCGGGATCCGTCCTTCGCCCCAGGAGTCAAGCAATCGTCATTCTGGTGGAGAAACCCCGTCTTCATACCCCAAAGACCACCGTAATGGGCTTTTGGGCTTCTTCAAGAAACGTTCCAAGGCAGGCGATTCCAACCACCCGTCTCCAGAGGAGCCGTTCTTGGAGTCTCCCACCAGTCCAGTGAACATGCGCCAGAACAGCTCGCAGCTGCCTTATAATAGGCCAAATTTCAGCACCAGTGAGTTGTCGCTGGGCGGCGAGCGGCCATCGTCTTCATCCATGTCGGACCACGAACGATTGACGTTGCGAGGTAACAAGCCAATGCAGAAAAGCAAGAAGTGGACTTTTGTGACTTTGGACGGATGGAACTATCGCTTGGTCGACATAACCGAGATGGACTCTGTGGAGACACTGCGTTCTGCCATTTGTCAAAGCCTTGGAATCGCTGATTGGACTGGGGCGCAGATCTTCATGACGGAGCCCGGGCAGACTGAACACGATGAGCCGTTGAATGACACTAGCCTGGCTTTGTGTCGGCGGACAAAGTCAGACACGGTTGGCTCATTGAAATTGTTTGTACGAGGGCCCCATATGCAATTGGGTGTGAATAGCTCCACTCACTACGGCTTGGGGCTTTCGATCCCAGAGAAGGGCACAGCCTCACCCACATCTGCTCACCAGTTGCACAGAAAGCCGCTTGACGATGAAGCTCTCAGCAGGATATCTCCTCACAACCCAGCCAAGCCTACGTCTCCTCAAGTGTCTTCGCGGCAGCAGCTCAAAGCTCCCAGTTCCAAGCTACCGCCAGCCTCGCAACCATCAATCACAACGTCCCCAGTCGATGGTGGCGCCGAAGCAGGACTGCCTACTGATGCCGAGAAGGCAGACTTGTTAGCTCGTCACGAAGAACATATGCGTGAGGTTGAGCGGAAACAGAGGGCCTATCGCATCTCCAAGGTCCCACCGATGCCACAGCCGAGAAAAGATGTCTACGGTGAAACTGGTTACCGCCGTGAAGGTGTCATTGATTTTGATCAGCCTCGCACGTCTCCTTACGAAGACAAGAAGTCTGAGCCCCTTGTGCCCCTTCGCAAGCCTCCCACTGCGCCTCACGAGTCAAGCACACTCACCAAAGTCAACTCACTAAGGAAGAAGGATGTTGAGCGGCCCCGCATACAGACTACCGCGCAGCCACATGGTACTCATGGTCTCGGAGCTGTATTGGCTAGTGTTGGTAGGATGACCAGCGCCATTGGAACCCCGTCTCCATCAGTCCCCACGCCACCTGCCGCCAGTCAGGAGTTCAAAGGACCGCAATCATCGGAGCAAGATAACCAAACAACGCCGACAGTGCATTCGAGTCAGTCTCCGGCACAACCTGGCTCTGCGACTCCTCAAGAACCAAAACCGACTTTGCAGTCTCGCAAGTCATTTGGACCCGAATTTGACTTTGAGGAGACCAAGGTTTCTTTCCAAGGGTCGCCGGTGCCACAGCAGCCCCAGGAAGACTCCGACGAGGACTCCGATGATGGTCTTTTCGCCATTCCCATCGCGAGTACCAAGACCCCGGTTAAAGAAAACCCGCCAGTGTCCGTCTCGCCTGAGTCGCAAAGGCGAGCCGGGAAACCGTCTCTCACGCTGAATACTGAGAATAGGCTACGGAAAGGACTATCCGTTAGCTTCAGATCCCCGAGTGCTACCCGCGAAACGTTCGCCAGTTCAAGCGGGGAATCGGGCAACAGGAACCCGTCCTTCCTTGACATGAGTGCTTCGCCGGAGGAAGAGAAGCCACCCCGCAGGGATTCCTTTGCCCAAGGAGATCTGTGGGCAAGCAGACCTCCAGTCGAGGGCGTTATTGATCACCTCGATGACTTCTTCCCGGACATTGACCTCGATACCCCTTACCTTGACGGGCAGGGCATGTCACCCCCTTCATCCCCGGCATCTAAGGTTGCAACCGACAACGACATAATTCCCAAGGATAAACCAGAAGCTGTATCACACCCCACACCACATACACCTGCGCCGCCAAGCGAAAATACCCTTGGCTCCAGCGAGCCAACCATCAAGCCTCAGGATCCAGGAGTCGTTGCTCGGCGGAACGTCAGTCGCTCGGGCGGTGGACTCACACGCATGAAATCGATTCGAGAAGTGGCAAAAGGCGCCAATCAAGCTAGTAGGAATCGGAGTGTGACAGCCAATACCGGCAATCAAAGATCAGGTGATATTTTGCGCCGCAAGAGCACGAAGATGTTCGGCGCCAAGATTATGCAAATCAGTCCGAAGCGTGGCAGCCGACTTAGCCAGCTGGACCCTATCCCCCAGAACCAGGCGCCTGCGGGAAATATCCCTCAAAGACAGCCCACTTTCCGCATCATCCGTGGTCAGCTCATCGGCAAGGGAACTTATGGCCGCGTATACCTTGGCATGAACGCTGACAATGGTGAGGTCTTGGCTGTGAAGCAAGTGGAGGTCAATCCTCGGATTGCCGGCACAGACAAGGACCGCATCAAGGAGATGGTCGCAGCGATGGACCAGGAAATTGATACCATGCAACATCTCGAGCATCCTAATATTGTGCAATACCTCGGTTGCGAGCGAGGCGAATTCTCCATCTCGATCTATCTCGAATATATTTCTGGTGGCTCTATCGGCAGTTGTCTTCGCAAGCATGGCAAGTTTGAGGAGAGCGTGGTCAAGTCTCTGACACATCAGACCTTGAGCGGGCTGGCATATCTTCACAACCAGGGTATTCTCCATCGCGACCTGAAAGCCGACAATATTCTCCTGGATCTGGACGGAACGTGCAAGATCTCCGACTTCGGAATTTCCAAGAAGACAGACAACATCTACGGAAACGATTCGACCAACTCCATGCAGGGCTCGGTCTTCTGGATGGCGCCAGAGGTCATCCAGTCCCAAGGACAAGGGTACAGCGCCAAGGTGGACATCTGGTCTCTGGGATGTGTGGTATTGGAGATGTTTGCTGGACGCCGGCCGTGGAGCAAGGAAGAAGCTATTGGTGCGATCTTCAAGCTGGGTAGTTTGAGTCAAGCCCCTCCGATCCCTGAAGATGTTTCCATGAACATCACACCAGCAGCGCTCGCCTTTATGTACGACTGCTTCACAGTGTAAGTGGCATTGTCTTCTAGAACCATTTCCCGCCAGACTAACATGTTATAGGGACTCGCGTGATCGGCCGACTGCTGAGACTCTCCTAACCCATCCCTTCTGCGAACCCGACCCGAAGTACAATTTCTTGGATACCGAGCTCTACGCCAAAATCCGCCACGTCCTGTAAAGCCCCACCCACCTAGCGCGATGTTCAGTATTATCGTATTCCCAAGCATCTCTCTCTTCCAGCGTTTCGACTATGCATTTTGTTTCCTCTCCCCTGCATCATACCCAAAATCGGCAGTATTTCGCATTCGGTGTGGCATAGTTTGTTTGAAGGAATTGGGCTGGGTGAGCTTAATCGTTTGAACAAGATTCTGGATATGCCTGGTCTCTTCTTGGTTGAGACACAATCACAGAAAAAGTGTCTTGTCCCGTTACAACTTCAATACACTGTATATACATTTGAGTTCAAGAAAATAAGAATACTAATATCTACTACGTAGTACTACCACTGTACAAGAATAAAAGTCTATGCTATCAAGACCTTACACCCCCACCCCCACTCAAACTCCCCTCCTCCTCATCATCATCCTCATCCCTCCCCAACCCAACAAAACCCACCCTAAACACCCCCTCACACCACTCCGCAAAAGTATCCACATCCCAAACCTCATCCTCCCTCCCCTTCCCCTTCTTACTCACAAAATTCCCCCTCCTCCTCTCCGCATCAACATACATCTCCCAAAACTCCTCATAAATCTGAATGACCCGATCCTGCACCGCGCCCACCAGCGTCTCCCTCATCCGTCCATCATCCAAATACTCCCCCAACACCTTCCTCAAACTCGCCACCTCCCTCTCCACATTCCCGCACAATGTATCCATTAAGCCCCCAGCAGAGGGAAGATTTCCAGTTGATGTCCTAGCCGGCAACGACGCCGTCATCTTCCCCGCCGCAAACTCATTAATGAATTCATTGATCACAGTGCGGAGCCGTCCATCCAGTTCGACCTTCGCGTCGAGCATGTTCTCCACGACACGGGGGAGGAGGCCATGCCCCACTAATTTGAAGAGGTTGCGTGGGTTGAAGAGACCCCCGCGTGAGCGCAGCTCGTAGAAGGTGGAGGTCATGGCGGAGAAGTCGAGGGTGGTTTCGGGCGTGGTGTATTCGATGTCGAAGGCGACGATTTGTTGTTTGAGGATTAGGAGGTGGCTGAGGAGGAAGAGGTGCGCGTCTGTTGGGGTGGTTTTTGTGCGTAGGAGGGTGCTGGCGCTGTGGAGGGAGGTCGTGGTTTGGTGCACGATTTGGTGGGCGAGGTCGTCGAAGACGGTGGACTGGTTTGTTTTGGTTAGTTATTTGTTATGGGGGAGTGTTGGGGTTTGGGGAGGGGATGTACGTTGACGAGACGGTAGATTCGGCTAAGGAGCCAGATCGCTTTGCGGAGGGTTGGGTACCAGCCGCTTTGGTCTTGGGTTGTTGGGGACTCGAGGTCCCATTTTGTAGCGGCGGTGGTAGTGGTGTCTTCGGGGGTTGTTGATGATGGGTCGCTGTCGTTGCTGGGTTTGGTTGTTGGTTTGGGTCGAGTTGGGAGGGTCGTGGGGGTGGTGGTGTCTGTGGAGGTGATCTTGCGGCCGCTGATTTGGCCTTCGGTGACGGAGATGGAGAATTGCTTGTTGCGGGCTGGGTAGTCGAGGTCTTCGGGGCGAGGTTTGTAGCGCTCGATTTCGTCGCGGAGGAAGGCTTGCGCGCGGAAGACGAGGCGGGTTTGGACGTCTTCGAGGGCGGGTTGGATCAGCGCTGGGAAGTCGAGTTGGTTGGCGTCGACTTGTTGCTCGATCTCCTCGTCCTGGTCGAGCAGGTATCGGGTTTGCAGGAGGGTGCAAAGCTGGCAGAGCTTGACGATCTTGTCTTCGTGGATGATGCGCGGTCTGAGGTGATCGTAGAGCGGTTCGCAGATGGTTTCTAGGAAGTCGTAGAGTCCGCCGTAGCCGTGAAACCATTCGCCCCAAAGTTCGAACTCGTCAAGGCATACGCCGCGGATGTAGCTGATGCTGGCGCGAGCAAAGGAGACGAGGTCCTGAGATGATGTCGGAGACTGCGCGAGGTCGTTGAGGTTCTTGTACACGAGTGGGATGATCAGTTTCCCGCGCGTGGCTGCATAGTTCGCATGAAGCTCGTTGAGCAAGCTTTGGTATTCGGCTTCGGTGCCCTGGTCGGGATCTAGGGGCGGGACAGCTCGTTTCTGGATCTCGAGTCCGATCTGCTTCAGTTCTGGTGCACCGACTCGGAACTTGGCGTAGAGCAGCGTGGACATGGTTGTGTCGTTGAGCTGCTTATCTGCGATCTTCTTCGACGCATCGGCGTATACATCGCGGAGGGAGGACACAAAGTGGGTTCTGATCAAGGTGAGGGCACGGGTCATGAGTAAACGGTACCGGGAGCGGTATACACCAGCTTCCTTTTGATCGGGCTGCGGAATAGGACCCATTAGCTAGAAAGCGATAGACATTGTGATGTATACTGACATGTGTCTCCATGTAATCCAGGCATTCGTCAAGACGCCGTAGCATGTCCGAGAACTCCTTCCCACGGACTGTATTTCCAGCTCCCGGGGCATTCAGTCTCCTCGACGCAGGATCCAGAAAGTCATAATACTGGAGGTTCTCTTGGATATCCTCCGCCAAATCCGAGTCATGCTTCTGCGCAGAGAGCAGCCCCTCACATTGTTTCCGGAATTGAGAGGTCTGCGACTCCACAGCTCTAAAGTCGTTCGAGAGGCTAGTCAAAACGTCGAGGGTCGACGACGTATCGGTCAACAAGGAATCGAGATGGGACTTGGACATTTGAAGCTCCTGGAGACAAGCTCTAAGCACAATTGATGTCAGCATAGACCAGGGGCTCTGTGGGGGGTGGACCGCGGATGGGCGTACTGGTACTCATCGTAACTAGCTTCCAGCAGGCTCTCCTCTACTTCATTGTACCATTGCGCAAATTCCAGCTCATTGCGAATATCGGTAACTGAGTCCACACCATCCGGGATCGTCTCGAGTTCGGTGGCCTCTTTGACCTTCTGTTCCAAAGCCCGGCCCGACGGGGCAGTTTGGCGTCGACTTCGCTGTCCTGCAGCTTTTTGACGCATTGTGGGGAATTCTTCAGTGTTGAAAAGACGTGCCTTACAGCCTCTGCATCAAAGCCCCCATGAATCCAAGGTAAGCGATCCCTATCAAACCCAGAGCCCAGGCGCAGGGAAAGACAGAGGAGCAATGAATCCGGCGTGGCTTCAATGCGCTATTCTGCCGATGTCTTCCGCCTACGCGACTTGACGCAACATCCAGCTGATGTTTTGCCTCTTTCTCATTGATCGATCAAGATCCGCTCGGGAATAAACAAGAATATTGGAATTTAACTTCAGTCTCGGCGTGCGAAACCATTAAGCACTGCCAAACATCATGTGGACTCATCGGGGGCGGCAATCGGTGACCACCGTCGTCACCAACTCTTCACGTCGCCTTGTGAGAAGCAACCGATCTATCGCCACGCCCTGGCGCAGATATTATGCCAGCAGTAACAAGGGACCGGAGCCATCGATTAACTCGAACTGGCTCCGGAACTCTTTGGGCGTGGCAGGAGCAGGCACTGCTGCTGTTTTCATTTACGAATATGCTACATCCAACCGGAATCCGATTGAGAAGCCAGTGGAGAAGGTGAAAGACCTTGCTAAATCCGCCGAGGAACTGAGCTCGCAGTACGTACAGCACAAGCGGAGTGTTAAGAGTCCCGGTGTCTATGTCTGGGGCAATAACGCCTATCGTGTGGTTGATCCGGAATCCAAGGAGTCCGTGGTGAAGACTCCCCGGAAATTTGCCTACTTTGAAGGTCAAGTGCTCAGAGACCTCAAGCTCGGAGAGAGGTCCGGCGCAGCCATTACGGAGAACGGCGACCTGGTCCAATGGGGCAAGGGCTACTCAGAGACCGAATTCAAGCCCACAAAGACTCTTACCGGCAAGAATCTGGCTTCGTTGTGCATGTCCAACGATCGGATCCTCGCGCTGTCTTCGGACGGCAATGTCTATTCACTACCCATTGCCAAGGAGGACCAACTGGGTGGCCGCAAGACCAAGGAAGGGTCATGGGTGCCTTTCCGGTCGGGAACGTCCAGTATTAGCTACCGCTTGCTGCAGCCGACATTGAAGCTGGGCGAGCGTGTAACCGCTCTCGCCAGCGGACTCGACCATGCTCTACTCTTGACCAGCTCCGGCAGGGTGTTCTCCGTTGCTGCTTCTACTGAGAATTACCCATCCTTTGGACAGCTCGGTATCCCCGGCTTGACCTGGGCTACTCGCCCTAAGGGACCGGTGGATGCCCTTCACGAGATTACTGCGCTCAAGGGCTCCAAGATCGTCCAGATTGCTGCGGGCGATTACCACTCGCTCGCTCTTGACAAGGACGGCAATGTGTTCGCTTTTGGCGACAACTCTTTCGGACAGTTGGCGATGGAGTTCAACCCGTCCTCACCTTTCTGCGATACCCCGACTCTGGTGCCCATCAGGAACCTCTACCGCGGTCCCTGGTTGCCCAAGGCCACTCGGGTCGCGGCCGGAGGTGCCAACAGCTTCTTCACGGTGGATGCGCAGCGCATACTCAGCTCCAAGGAGGACCCTGCCACCCTGCGTGACCTGGGGCGCATCACTGCCGATACCTGGGCTTGCGGACGGGGCATCTGGGGAGCTCTGGGTACCGGCAAATGGACCCACGTACAGGATTCGCTTGCCAAGGTGAAGGCACTGAGTGGTCTTTCCGAATTCGACGAGAAGACCAACCGCCTGACGCCCATCCGCATCCATGATCTGTCAGTCGGCACGACACATGTCTCCGCGGTCATGAACAATAGCACCCATGTGGATTCAGCTCCCTCCAGCACCTTGAACGATACTCGTGACTGGGGATACGATGCGCTCTGGTGGGGAGGCAACGAGCACTTCCAGCTGGGCACAGGCAAGCGCAGTAACCTGTCCAAGCCGAACTACATCCACGCCCCGCCGGAGGAGGCAGACGAGCAGCAGGAAGCACGCCTCCAGATCATGCCTCGTCATAAGGGCAAGGTTGACCGTCGCACGTTGAGCATGGAGCAGCGCGTGGTATGTGGACGACACATCTCTGCCATCTATTCTTCCGTATAATTTGACCTCCTTCTTTTTCCATGTATAATGAACCATAATTGGTGCTATGACCATGTATATTAGCTATGTTTTCTGGGCGTGTTATGAGGTGATTGGGGTTGAAAAAGTCGTGATCAGGGCATGTAATACCAACCTATCAGCACACAGCTGGAATTCAATGCAAATCTCATACGCTACATAGTACTAGGGTCTTTTGTCTGGAAGCGTGAATGGTTCCTGAACGGCCATCAGTGCCGGATCTCCACCAAAGACTGGGTCATGATGGCGAATACCCGGAAAATGTCATCACCTCAGTGGATCCTCTCGTCTTCCGCCTGCCCTTCCGATTGACTTTTGACAGCCACAATGGCTGTTCCATGAGCTGCTTTTTCTCTACAATTCCTTGAGATTTCCCCTTTAATATCGTTGTCGCATCGCCGTGTATAGTCTCTCTCCTTTGTCCACCTCCCAATATCTCGTCTGTATCTCTCGATCCCTCAACTCCTCCAATCTCTCTCCCCGCATCCATGGCTTCTGCCCCGCCGGCCAGTCGCGCCGATGAAGTACAAAATGTGAGTCATACTCTTTCTTTCACTCCTGATGAGCTGGCGCATATTCCTCAACCCTAGCTCCTGTTTCTAAGAGCCACCAGCATCATCCTAACCTCCAATCCGCATCATACTGACCGCATTGACTGCTCTACAGCTTCTGAAAGCCGTCGAGGATCTCCTAATTCCGTTCATCCGAAGCGCCGATGAGGACCCTTTAGCCCAGCAATCGCTGCACAACGGCACCAATGGCGACTCCAAGCCTCGAGGCACGGCCCTCGTCGAACACAAGAAGCCCGAAGAGCTGCAGAAGCTCCTCCAATTAGACTTCCCCGACCAAGGAACCGGACAAGACGGACTCATCGAAGTCCTGCGCAAGGTTCTGCGCTACTCGGTCAACACATGGCACCAGGGATTCCTCGACAAGCTTTATGCATCCACCAACGCCCCCGGCGTAGCGTCGGAGCTTATCCTGGCGGCGCTCAACACCAACGTCCACGTCTACCAGGTCTCCCCAGCCCTGACCGTCATTGAGAAACACACCGGCAAGCAACTCGCCTCTCTCTTCGGCCTCAATGGCCCCCGCGCCGGAGGCATCTCCGTCCAAGGAGGCTCGGCCTCCAACACCACCTCGATCGTGATCGCGCGCAACAACCTCTACCCCAGCACCAAGAAAGACGGCAATGGCAACTACCGCTTCGTGCTCTTCACCAGCGCCCACGGCCACTACAGCATCGAAAAGGCCGCCCAAATGCTCGGTCTCGGCAGCTCCTCCGTCTGGGCCGTCCCCATCGACAAACAAGGCCGCATGATCCCCTCGGAGCTCGAAGCCCTGGTCCAAAAGGCCCTCGCCGAGAACCGCACCCCCTTCTACGTCAACGCCACCGCCGGCACCACCGTCCTGGGCTCCTTCGACCCCTTCCACGAAATCGCCGCCATCTGCAAGAAATACAACCTGTGGTTCCACGTCGACGGCTCCTGGGGCGGCTCCTTCATCTTCTCCTCCTCCCAACGCGCCAAACTCTCCGGTGCCGAAAAAGCAGACAGCATCGCCATCAACCCCCACAAAATGCTCGGCGTCCCCGTCACCTGCTCCTTCCTCCTCGCCGCCGACATCCGTCGCTTCCATCTCGCCAATACCCTCCCCGCCGGCTACCTCTTCCACAACGACGACACCGCCGCCGCTGCACCAGACTCCCTCAACGGCGAGACCGAACTCGTCGTCGACTCCCCGGAGGTCTGGGACCTCGCAGACCTCACCCTCCAATGCGGCCGTCGCGCAGACTCCCTCAAGCTCTTCCTCAGCTGGACCTACTACGGCACGGCCGGGTACGAGCAACAAATCGACTCCGCCTGCGCAGTGGCAGCGCACCTCGCTACGCTGGTCGAACAGAACCCCAACTTCGTCCTCGTCAGCGAGAACCCGCCGCCGTGTCTGCAGGTGTGCTTCCATTATGCGCCGAACCGTGCATACGTGCATCCCCGCGGACTGGTCTCGAATGAGACGGAGCGCGGGAAGGCGAATAGTAAGGTCACGGAGCAGATTACGCATGCGATTGTGGGTAAGGGGTTCATGGTGGACTTTGCTCCGCCGAGTGGGGATGAGGATGCTGTCGGGAATGGGAAGTTCTTCCGGTGTGTGGTGAATGTTCAGACGACGAGGGAGACGGTTGAGGGGCTCATTCGGGCGATTGAGGAGGTTGGACCGGGGATTGTGGAGAAATTGAAGAGGGAGAGTGCGGGGGAGGTGTCGACGAGGAGGTTGGGGGAGAGGGGTCATGGTCCTGTTGTGCATCATTGAGGGGTGGGTTTGGTCAGTATGTGTCTAATATTTGGATATATTTGGGATGTTTTTGTAGAAACAAAAGTCTGGGCTATAGATGGGATGGTATAAATATAGAGGGTACATACACATACATACAGGGTGGGTATATAACGAGGAATACAGTGAATGAGATGATGAGCTTATATTTGAATGCACAGTGGATTGTAACAATGGATATCTCATGCAACTACTAATTACTACCACCCTCATCCATATATACACCCCCGGTGTACTCCCTCAACTAATTACCAACCTCCGCCCGTCTCTCAAGCACGCTTCTCGCCTCCGCCTCAGTCAAACTCTCGATCCCCAGTTCTGCAAGCACAACCCGCGCGCTTTCATTATCCTTGAAGAGTCGCTTCTCAACCTCCCATAGCCCAGGGCGTGTATCTCCCTCGACTTCTGAGTCCTCCGTGGTAGTGGTAGTCTTCGCATCAGCCGAATTCTCCAGTCCCAACAGAACAAGACCCTCCGCTAGTTTCTTCATGTTCTTAATAGAATTGCCAGCTGTTGGCTGCCCTGCTCCGCTTCCTAGGGCAGTGTCAACGACACTGCAGAGATGTTCGACGTCGCTGATGAATTGCGCGGCGCCGGACGCGGAGAAAGTGTTTCTTGTGAGTACACTGCTCCAGAAGTAGGTCTGGATGGCGAGGAGGACCTGGCGGGTGATGCGGCGGAGCGGGGTGACGCCCAGTGCGCGGGAGAGGAAGGTAATTTCGGTGGAGAGGGTGCGCATTGCTGGTGCGAGGTCGGAAGTGGGAGGGAGAGGAGTGGTGGTGTTACTCGTGGAAATGGAAGCCCAGGTGGAGACGCGGGAATAGGGTTTCAAAGCAGAGCGCACGTTTGAAGTGAGAGTGGAGGTGATGATGGATTCTGAACGGAGGCGGAGACGGCGGTAGGCGGAGGCGGTCTCGTCGAAGAGAGCGCCATCTGTTGAGGATGCACCGGTGCTTTGGCCGTGGTTGTTGTTCACGGCTTGGGAGGTGCGGGATGCGACGTCTGCGATGGACATGGTGCCTGCTACGTTCTTGCCGCCGTCTTTGTTTTGTCGGACGCGGTCTTGGAGCTCAGTCCAGAGTTCGACAAAGAAGACTTCGTTGCTCCAGTCTTCCATCTTCTTCTCGAGGTATTCCGCGCTGCCGAAGACTCGGCACAGTCGTTCGAGCCCGGCCACGCCTTCGATGCTGGCGGCATCGGTTCCCTGGACGGTGCGGCCAATGGCGGAGGTCATGGCGAGGTAGGCTTCGAGTGCAGAGTGCAGGCGTTCGTGGAATTGGTCGAAGATGGTGATTTGGATGTCGATGAGGAAGCGCAGCTTCTGGCTGAACGAAGACAAGGGCTGGTAGCGCTCCGTTATTGTTTCGAGAAGATCGTTCACCCGGATTGCAGCCTTGGTAGGCTTGGTTGAAGTGAGGTCGACTCCTTCATAGTCGATGTGACCGCTATCCGGGGTGTCGACGATCTCCTTATAGCGGGCCAATGCGAATTCCTTTTCGACCTGAAGCCAGCGGTCAAACCAGCCTTGCTTGGTCAGGACTTCCCAAGTCATTCCCCGCCAGTCGTCGGTGGAGTAAGGGTCTGGTAAGTAGTTCCACGACTCGCGAACTTCGTTGTCAAAGTTCATCAATTCATGCATGAAATGACTCAGGAGTTGCGGATGGTTCGCGATCTGAGGCAGAAACGTGGTTATCTTATGGTTCAGCACTGGCAGAAGCGCTGTGATGTAAGCGTGAGAGGCATTGTAGAAGTTCCACCCTATATCAGTGCCGACATTCTGCGCCTCTTGGTCGAAGATGGGTTGGAGGAACGAGGCGAAGAATCCTCCAAAGTTGTTGATCAGGTCCATAACATGAGCCAGGAAATACTCGGGCTATTCTGAGTTAGAAACTAGTCTTCGTTACTGCGAACGATGTACGTACCTTGTCAAGCCTATTTGTCGGCTTGTCCCCGCTGAAATGGTACTTGAAGCGCAGTTCGAGCGGATGCACCATGACTTCCAATGGCAGTAGAACTGGCGGCTCAGCGCCATGATGTTTCGACACGGAGGTATGAGACTTGAGCTCCCTATAGCTGACTGGTTACACCCAAGCATTGAAGTTGACCTTGATGCCACGTACGGTTTCTGCAGGCCCAGAAGCAGTTCCACATTCTCCCTCCATTGTGTCTGTATATCCTCCGGAAAGTGAAGATCCTTCGAGGGCCACTTCATTTGCTCCATTGTTCCTTGTAGTCGTTGGGCGAAGTCTGATTTCATTTGCTCCCTGAGGGCGGACGATAGCTTCCCCACGTAGTCGACCAGGTGAGGGGCAGCTCCTTCTGCAGCTGGCTGAGCATCTCGAAGGCTCTGGGCAACATTGCGTAGTCGGGTATACGACTGAATCGCGATTCGGGGTTGATCTTTGATGTTATTCAAGGCCTCCTTGCTGTATTGGAGATCAGCGACCGTTGTCTTGCCTAACATGTTACTATTCCATACCTCAGCTCTTCCGCCTCCTTGAGCAAAGTCATATAGCCCCTCGAGATCTCAAGCCTCCGCAGCTTCTCTATACTCGCTTCAAAGCGCTTCGCTGCCTCATCGCTAGAATCCGACCCCGTGAGTTCTTTCAGACGCCGATCGATGTCGGCCTGTTGCTCGTTGAATGCTTCGGCTTGCTTTCGAGTGGCTTCGGCATGGTCTTCGGAGGCTTTTGTGGCATTCGATAGCGCTTCGTGAGCTTCTGCTAGCTTCACAGTCAGCTGTCAGCAAGTGTTTTCGAGTGTCTGCTATTGATCTGGGGATGGGAGTACGCTCTACCTGCTTGCGTTGGAGCTCATGTTGGGCTCGGAGACTCGACAGCAACGAGTCGAGACTTTCCAAGTCAGCAGTTACCTGCAGTTTGTCATTTAAATAATCCTCAACCCGTGTCCTCTCATGCGACGACAGAGCAGAAGCTGGAGTCGCCATTGTTGATAAGCTGGCGGGGGAGAAACACGGGGAGAAGGACGAGGTGTCGCTAACTCCGCCTTGGGCATTTCCGCCCTTTGCTCCAGCTCATCTTCCGCCTCCACCGCAAGCAACGTCACTCCCGCCCGCATTGCAGCCACTATGGAGCGCGCGGGATGGGCAATGTCGCACGCCATTGTCCTACATCGTACTCCTAGATGAATGGTTGAATGAATGAATGAATTATACATACCTTCAACATGTCCAGTCCAGCTAAGAAGCGCAAGAGGGATGATCCCGCATCTGCCTCGCAGCGCACCCGGAGCATAGCGTCATTCTTCCAGGGCCAGGCTGCTAAGCAAGCCGAGAGGACGCAGCAGGAATTCGAAGCTGTGCCCGAAGCTCCCACGGAACAAACTCTTTCGGACGAAGCGCTTGCGCGTAAGCTGCAGGCTGAATGGGACCAGGAGCATGCGCTTTCAAACCCGCAGGCCGACACGCCTAGCGATGAGCTTACTTCGGCGCAATCAAACACCGGCGATAACGATCGGGAACCGACCAAACTGCAGAAGAAGGGCGTCCTCTCATTGCAGTCATCCACAGGTACGGAAGACACTGTGTCTCTTGCGGTTCCTTTCGATCAGAGTCCTATCGCGTTCGATGCCTCCAAATATGCGCGCGAGCTGCAAGGACACTGGGCTTCGGAAGGTGGCGACGCTTCGTACGCCCTCCTGACCAGAGCTTTTGTGCTCGCAAACGCCACAACTAGTCGCATCAAGATCGTCGATACATTGGTCAATTTTCTCCGCGTGTTGATCGAAGCCGACCCGTCCAGTGTGCTTCCCGCTGTATGGCTTGCGACTAATTCGATATCCCCTCCATACGACGAACTGGAGCTTGGGCTTGGCGGGTCCTCGATATCAAAAGCACTCAAGAAGGTATACGGACTAAACAGCCAAGGTCTCAAATCTCTATATGACAAGCACGGCGATGCTGGCGATGTGGCATTCGAGGCCAAGAAGAGACAGTCTTTCACATTGATGAAGCCCAAACCGCTTCGAATTAAAGGTGTCTATCAGTCGCTCAAGAAGATAGCTATGAGCAAAGGGAGTGGAAGTCAGGAGACAAAGCAAAGGATCGTCGAGAAACTTCTGCAAGATGCCCGTGGTGCGGAGGAGAGTCGATACATTGTTAGAACTCTGGTGCAGAATCTCCGCATCGGCGCTGTCAAAACTACCATGCTCATTGCACTTGCTAGGGCATTCCTGTACTCCAAACCAGAGGGGGCGGAATTTCCTATTTACTCTCAAAAGGAAATGGCGCAGATGAAGAAAGAGGAATTAGCTGAAATCTACGGCAACGCAGAAGAGGTCGTTAAGGCGTCGTATGCGAGACATCCAGACTACGATGACCTCGTTCCCTGCTTGCTTGAAGTCGGGGCTACCGATGAACTTCTCGTTCGCTGCGGTCTTCAACTGCACATTCCGTTGAGACCCATGCTGGGCAGCATCACAAGAGATCTGTCAGACATGCTGACGAAGCTACAAGGCCGCGACTTTAGCTGTGAATACAAATATGACGGACAGCGTGCGCAAGTGCATTGCGACGTACAGGGCAAAGTAACAATATTCTCCCGTCACTTGGAGAACATGACGGAGAAATACCCAGACCTGGTGTCTCTTGTCCCCGAAATAAGAGGAGAAGGCGTATCGAGCTTCATTCTCGAAGGGGAGGTTGTCGCCGTTGACCAAGAAACGGGCGAACTACAGGCATTCCAAATCCTGACCAACCGTGCGAAAAAGAACGTCGATATCGGAGCGATCAAAGTCAACGTGTGTCTATTTGCCTTCGACCTAATGTACCTAAATGGCCAGCCACTGCTCGACCGATCACTCCGCGAGCGAAGAGAGCTGCTACGGAGTTTATTCGTGGAGATCCCCAAACGGTTCACATGGGTGAAGAGTCTAGACGCCACCTCAGCCGACTCCGAAGCAGTACTAGAGTTTTTCAAGAGCGCCACAGACACCAAATGCGAAGGCATCATGGTCAAAGTGCTCGACAACATGCCGAAACCCGATCTCGAAGGAGTGGAAACACCAGCTGTCGATACTGCTATCAACGGAACACCCACCACACCGGGCCAACCAACCTCCAACACAACAGACAACAAACCCTCCAAAAATACCCGCCGAAAAGCCCTCCTGTCCACCTATGAGCCCGACAAGCGCCTCGAATCTTGGCTCAAAGTGAAAAAAGACTACAGCACCTCATCCGAAACCCTGGACCTAATCCCCATAGCGGGCTGGCACGGCCAAGGCCGTAAAGCGAAATGGTGGTCCCCGATCCTCCTTGCGGTTCGGAATCCAGAAACTGGAAGTCTAGAAGCAGTAACAAAGTGTATGTCGGGCTTCACGGACAAATTCTACCAGGCCAACAAGGACAAGTACGCGGAGGGCACCCCCAATGTCATATCCCGTCCCAGCTACGTCGAATACTACGGCGAGCCAGACGTATGGTTCGAACCACAGGAAGTGTGGGAAATGGCGTTCGCAGATATCACGCTTAGTCCTACATACACGGCCGCTCTGGGGTTGGTTAGTGATGAACGGGGTCTGAGCCTGCGGTTTCCTCGATTCCTCAAAGTCAGAGAGGATAAATCGATCGATGAAGCTACCACGTCTGATTACTTGGCTTATTTATGGAGGATGCAATCAGAACGGACGAAGCTGGAGGGTGGTGGTGGTGGTGAGGAGGGACCGACTGAAGAGCAGGAGGAGTAATGAGATACAGTGAACGTTGGATGTAAACCACATATACAATACACTTAATACATAAACCACCCCCTCTTTACAAATTCCTCCATAGACTACCTAAATACCCTATGAAAACCATCACGTGCCCCTCCTCTCCCTCACCACCACCCCATCTAACTCACACTCTCACACAGCTACGCAAGGTCGTAGATAGTAATCCCGGGATCGGGATCTCGATCCCCCGATCTCACCCTAACCCCAAAGAAGCAAATTCCCCGATCCAACCGAATCCCACCCTAAACCCAAAACGACCTAATCCGAACGCGAAATCAACACGATTAAATTAAACTTTCATACGCGTCGCGCGTAAACAACAAATTTTCGTGCAGATTTCATTCAGCCAAGTGGCTGGCCGCACACGGGTCGGTTTACTTTCCTTTCCTTTTCCGGTGGATGATGGTATTGCGGGGTCGTGTTTTCGCTCGTAATTCTGGTTTTTTTGTTTTTTTACTTTACGTGTTGTATGTCTATTGTAGGGGATTTGGGGGGGATGTTTATTTTTACGGAGGATGTGGGATAACGGGTGGTGTTGTTGGTTTTGGTAGGGGTATTGGGATTGGTGTTATTGGTGTGTAGACATAGATGTTAATTACTAAATGTCTTTTGCGATTAGAGGATATGGTTGTGGATATTAGAATGTATGATTGCGTGACGTCAATGTCGTCGATGTTTTACTTTCGGTTTCAGATACCGTTCCTGGTGATAATTTACAGGGTCGACGCGGTCTGCCAAGTGTAGACGTCATGAGGTGGACTTCGGTTAAGCGGATTCTGCAGTAGCGTACTGGCTGATTACTGATTATATTCGATGCATAATCGTATCTGTATGTGTACTATTGTATTTTGCTTATCGAAGCAATATCATGAATATCTGTGGTTGATGGTAAGGGCAACGAACGTCAAGATTAACCGAACAGTGGGTCACACGATATGGTTTGCACACAAAGGAAATCAGTTTCCAATAGTCCTCTGGAAAACATGGCATAAAGAACAAGGGGTATGTAATATGGACAGATGGCGTGTACATTATTTCGATAATACCGGTCCACGACAGGGCGTGGCCGGATAACACAAGGAAAATGACTAGACATTGGATACAGTGGCGGGGTATGTAGGGGGTAGAACATAACAGTCATTAGGAGTCATAAGCAATGGGGTTGGGGGAAATGCATAGACAAGAAGGGTAGAATCTGTACATCCAGATTTATTTGCTTTTTTCCGGTCGCAGCTCTTCACCGAGTTGGAGGACCATGGCAGGCCCCTTTCCGCGGTTCCTCGGGCTGTCCGTACTCGGCGGCAGCAGGCCGTCGAGATTAGATCTCTTTCGCTCCTTGTTGGCAAGGGGTGTTTTCGAGGGCCCTCCAGGCGTGCGACCGCCCCAGGGAGGTTGTGCCGGACTGGGTGTCACATTCACAAAGTCGGCAAAGTTGAACTGTTGGTTCGGGGTACCGAAGTTGGGGAAGACGCCGCCGCCGCCAGGAGTCGGGGTCAACGAGGGCAGAGCGGCGTGCTGGCTCGGAGGAGTCGACGGTGGGAAATCCCGCACCTGCTGAGACTTGGCTGGTGTTGGGGAATTGGCCAGGTACAGAAGCAAATCTGCTCCGTCTGCATGCCGCAATTGTCGGTCGTTCCGGGATAGACGGGCGTGCTTGGGAGGAGGCGTGCGGGGAGGTGAAGAGCCTGCCATCGAGCTGACATGCTGAAAACTGTGAACGGGGAGGTCGGGGTCATTGTCGTCTTCTGAGTGATGAGGATACGCCGGTGAGGAATACTCGGGGATATCTGACATGAAGGGGAGGGGAAGGTGTCGGTTCAGGTGCTGTCGGTTGAAGCCTGGAGACGATTCGGGCAGGTGGTGTGAACTCTTCCAAGACACCCGGGGGGCTTTGACCGTACGATCTGTAATCGAGTCGGATCGCAGACGCTTTCGGCTGGCAGACAGCATAGGCTGCATTGCCTTTGAATCGAAAGTTGCTGCATGTCTATTCCGAGACGATCGAGGGAGCTCCTTGGAATATGACGAGTTTGGCAAGGGAGGCGGAGTCAATGGGGTTTCACTCCGACTGTGCGAGACCTCCGACGAAGAATCCGACGGCCTGTCACTTCCCAAGCACACCTGTATTCCGCCATTATGGTTTGGTCCGAGTGCCTGTAGACGTCCGTTCTGATACTTGACTTTGGCGAGGCCTAACCGATCCTGGAGGCTAAGGGACACCTAGTAGTAAAGAAACGCATTCAATTAGACTTGGCTTAGACGGACAAGGGAGAGAGGGTAAAAGTAAAATTTCAGGCCACATCATACAGAGCAAGAAAAGTGCACATACCTGGGCAATGTCAATTTTGCGGATCGTCCTCTCCGAAGTTGACGGTTGAGTAAGAGCCATTGCTCGGGAATATCGAGGATAGGGAGCGCTATTCAGCCGATAGAAGAGCTCTGGTAGTGGGCATCGACCGACGACGGCAGATGAAGTGCGGGCCCTGAGAGAGTCAAGGGCTTGAAACCACGTCCAAGTTCGAAGTGGAGGAGTCAAGTCGGTGGTGCACTAGGGAGGGGGAGGAAAGGCTGAGGAGAGGAGGAGGAGTCTGCAATGGGATCCAATTGGTGATTGGTGAACGGAGTGACGAGCCAGCCAGCCAGTGAGTAAGAGAGAGCAGTAGTTAGTTCACCAGAGCAAGTTTAGTCGGTGGTTTTAGTTGAGGTTAGTTTGGGTTCGGGTCAGCAAAAGGAAGGGAGGCTATGGGCCTAAAGCAGCCACGAACTCTGGGGAAATCCCTTCTTCGTTTAGCGCCCACGGGCACGGAAGCGGCGAGAATAGCTGGTATGTATGGAAAGTCGTCCGGGCCTGCCTGGGTAACCTGCAACATCAAAGGAAAACAGTCTTTGTGTTGGGAATGCGGAAAGGGCCCAAAAGTTTCTTCATTTTGAGGTTGAGGGCGGGTGGTGGATAAAGAGGGTGCCATCGTCGCCAGTCGAGCCAAGGGATGTTTTTTTTTTGCCCTCTCTGACGGATGGATTCCCCGGTCGCCGTCAATAGCAGCTGAATTCCTTACAGGTGACAGACTTGATAATTGATGCATCTCATTCTCCTAATCGACTATGATTCTGATTTTTCTTTTTTTTTCCTTTCACATCCCCTATACTCCATGACTCGTGAAGGCTTTTTAAGTTATACTATACAGAAAAAAAAGATACACAAGGAGACGCTGCGACTCGCTTCTGAAGCCGCCGGCAGATAACTCTCGTCCACTCTGAACCAATGAATCCTGCGATCATCTCGGAATGCACCAGCGCACCACTGGTCAGACACATGCCACAGAATTCTCCGATCCATTCATTCTTGCCCCTCTCTTTGTCTCGCCCGCAGCATTTCTTCAGCCGTGCGATTGTGGAGAGAGGAATTCCTCCCTCACTTGCCTCAGCAATCAATTGATCGAACACAAAAACAAACCTTCCATTGATCGATGCCTGCCGACCGTAGGTATACTCCGTACTGACTCCATCTTCTTCTTCCCTCTTGGGAATGCCCGCTGCAGAACAAGTAGAGTTTGTCCAACGCATCTCTACACATAGGCTACTTATACTTTCCAGATGGGGAGGTCATGCAGATAATCAGTGTCAACAGCATCTGGGTGTAATGAACACGACAGTCAATGACTGAGTGTCGGTCATATGGCTCAGGAGATCACTCGACTGGAACAGATAGCAAGTCATGAAGTAGGCGTCAGAGCAAGCTCTTCTGGAGCATGCGGATCATTGTAAATACGCCTTTGCGGCGGCTATGGACCGACAGTGCGACGCTTCGGGTTTGGCTGGACCGGGCGTTCAGTACTACTATGTAGGACCCCGAGCAGTGATACCCGACATTCTAAACTCATCTTCCCGTTGCTTCTGTTGCCGCAGTTATCTCCGTGTTTGCCTTGTGCTCTTGAGAGTTGAGACATACCCGCTAGTGGAGATCACTGATTTAAGGGAAGTGATCAACTGTTGTTTGCTCGTTAGCTACCTTTGTAGCTCGGGAGCTCATTTAACAGATCGATTGCCATGATTATTCAGCGGAATACGAGAAACACAGAGATGCAAGCCAGCCCTACGATAGTGGAGACTGGAGGTTCTCGTGCAATGAAAAACCAGAGAGAAAAGAGATTTACTAGAGACGAGCCAAAGTTTGCGAAAGCACTGATAATTAGAGATAATGCGACACGGGACGAGGTTATGGGACCCCAGTAGCAAAGAAACAGGGAACGCAAAAAGCATGACGTGTACGAAGAGCGGCTAGCATGCACTTAGCAGAGAAGTAGTATTCTCAAAACCTCTCAGAGTAAGCACTTAAGTAAGTGCTACTACTACAGCTAAGAGAAGAAAGGTCCGCGGGCGGTTCTGATTGGGACTAAACCCCACAGGAACCAAAACAGTAATGCCGAAGTCATGAGATATGCAGAAGATTCGCGAGGATTTGGACGGATGATGACATTGCGTTGGAGCGAATCAGTCCGAGCAACTTGGGAGCGTGTGATAAGGGACAGAAAAGGTGGCAGGCTCCGGCGCCGACTTACAGCCCCCAAGGAAGCCAACGAGATAGTACTAACGGGGAGAGATATTAGCAGGATCCATCCAGGTTTGGGGATGGATGGATCTGGATTTCTGCTTCATGCGGACTGGCCCCGTCTCTTGCTGCAGGGTCTAAACCCTTCCGGGTAATCTCAGACCTTCCAGGCAAACTGGCAGCTGTGGCTGATAAGGAAAGGGGAGAGGGGATGACGACCCCCGAAGGCACCACCACTACACTAATTAGATACTAACTTACACTACTACTAATCTTTTAGTCCTTTAGTCCTTTTGGTAGTTGGGTGGTTGGGGCTCTGGCGTCCTTTTATTTTCCTTCTCTGCTAGTCTAGTACTTTACTCAGTGCCGGAGATACTCCGTGTTGCAGAAATCCATCGAAGCAATCATGGAAGCCATCATCATGGAAACGGGAAGTCTGATTGATTGCTGTAACACGGTTCACGCCGAGAGAAAAGGAAAGAGGAATAGAGGGGGAGGGGCAAAGAGGACGAAACATAATTAGAACAATGTCAACCACACTCCGATGCCAACTTCTCATTAGTTACTTGTTTGTGCTTGGGACGAAGTTCTTGGTACCGTCCTCGCAGTCCCATGCTCTTTTCCACTGGACGTGCTGGGGACCTAAGACTCTTGGTTTTACTCCTTTAGTGTTGGTGAGACTTAAGGGGTCCCAAGTTATTCTCCCTACAAAAGCATTGACTCTTGCGCGGTCCCTATCTTTTAGCTAGGTAGTTATCATCCTCGCCAATCTTGACTAGAAATCTTTTTTTCCTTATCTACGTACCCCCTTTTTGCCATCCTGCAGAGGGCCCGGTCTACCCTGAAATTTGAGACTCCAAGTTACTCCGGGAGCAGATAACCCTCCAGGGTCATTAAGGGTCAGATAAAAGCCCCATTTGGGGGGAAGAGGGATAGGATTGGGGGGGAGAGGGGAGGAGGGGGCAAATTTGACTTGCTGGAGAAGACGACTGGACATTTCTAGTCAGCACGCAGGAGCAAGTGTGATGCAGAGGCTAACAAAGTAGCTAGCAAGCACCGCCAACGGAGACAAATATAGCCGGCGATCGTCTTGGCTCCACCGTCTCGGGTGGTGAGACGGTGAAACCAAGAAGGCTATCTCTTCCCGCCCGTTGGCCAGTGGCCGCCAGCCTACGTAACACATCCTTGTCTATTCGCAACGGACAAGAAGCTGCAGCTGGATGCGCCCCACTGCAAGAGTGGCAGTTGCGTTTTTTTAGTGCCTGGACCAATTTTACTTTTCTTTTTTTTTTTTTCTTTTCTTTTCTTTTTTTCTCTTTTATAAATTGGTGTTAATTATTACCATCGTCATTATTATATTAGTATATTTAGAACGATAATTTGATTATTATTATTATTATCATCATCATCATCGTGGGCAAGCACATTAACCACTCTCTCTACTGTATACCTCTCACACTGTTACCTTGAAACGGGACGGGAATGGCTTTTGTGTGTTGCTTTTTTGGAAACAACCTTGCCTCCCCGAAGACCGATGATCGGGTTCGAATTGATTTTCTCTACGTAGGTGGGAACAGATGGAGGCTGGAAGGGAAGATGAGCCGATAATCAATGTCGTTCAGCCGAGTTTAGTTCATCATATTAGTGGTCAGATCTTGCTTCAACCGAAGACAGTAACCACCAACTACCAAGCGGAGAGTCGTAGTATGTAACTAACTGGCTCACTAAATTCAAGCCACGCAATGAGACAAGAAAAGAACAGAACAAGCTTTGGGTTCGAAAGGAGTAACTGGATCTAGGTCCTTCGCCTACGCCGATTAGAGGCAGGTGAGATTGCATTATTATTTGCTGTCTCACATACCAATGACATTATTGTTCGCGATTAGCTCTTAGTCCAGGCACTAATCGACTCCATCCTGATTTCTCTCTCTCTCACTCTGTCTCCGTCTCCATGCTTGCTTGCCTGCTTGCTTGCTTGCTGCTTTTTGCCAATTAATTATTCTCGTTTGTTCCTTTTCCCTATTTTCCCTTCTCCCCCCTTCTGCCAGTCCTGCCCCCCCTCTCTCTCCCTCCCCTCTTTTCTCCCTCTTCCCCTCGGAAAGTCCCTCGTTCCTTGTTTCTAGGATCATTCCTGAATTTTTTTTTTATTTCTTAATTTTTTTCTATTCCCAATCATTCCACTTCATCCTTCCTGCCAACTCGCTAAATGGACTGCCGCTAAGTCAATTGTCACTTGACGTTCCATTCCATTCCAACCTTTCCTCTCGTTTATACTTTCACCCTCGCCCGGTTCCTGGATGCCACTCTGGTTGATGCGGGGTGCCTCTGCCATTCGTTCGTCACTCGCTGCCGCAAACGGTCGCTCTCCTCTTTCTCCGATCTTCTCGTTGTCGTCAACGCTGAGCTGTCCACGAATCTCTCGTTAAAAATAACAAAAGAAAAGAAGATTAAAGAAAAAAATTAATTGAGAAACCGTTAACAACAGAAGAAAAAGAAATAAGCGTTGGAATCGCAGTCGCTCGTTCATCTATCCCTGGCAGATTACTTTCTTCTTGGTTCTCTCCATTGGAAGAGTCCAGCTCATTCCTCCTGAAGAAGGCAAAACGAGGCAAGGTCACTCTTGCCTTCTCCGGTATACTTACTGCCCCATCCACCACTGCCCTTCGACCTTCTTCTTTCTTCGACAGCAGCAACAGCAACCAACAACACCACCCATCATGCCGTTGTTCAAACAGCTTCGTCGTCGCTCGAAAGCCAACTTTCACCCCAGCAAGTCGGCACCAGAGACAAAGTCCAACGAGTCTCAATCCAATGGGGACATGACTTCGGGAAAATCATCATCCACGCTTGAAACAGCCTCCTACAGCTCTCTCACTCCACCCTCATCAATCAAGCCAACTCTCTCTTCTCCTAATCTACCATCCCTTAGCGAAAGCAACGGCACCTCCAACAACGCTGTTTCTCCTCTTTCTGCGCCTCCCCAACGCCCTGGTCTTCTCACAGCTCCGTCGCAGCGGAATAGCGCCTATGTAAGTCAGACCCACACTGGGTGCGGTTCCTCGGCTGACCACTTGATTGCTCTTTGCAGTTTGGCAGTAATATGTCTGTCAATGGGGCTGTGCGGTCGCCTACTCCCTCCTCTCCTTATGCGCCGAGGATCATTTCCATCTCCGATAACTCTTGGGTTTGTACTCCTTCGCTACTCTTTTTTCTCTCATTATGGCTACTAGACCGATTGGTGCAATAAAGCTGACTTGCATTACTCGCCGATAGGTCCATCAAAAGGTTCTGCTGGTGTATGGCCAAATAGGAGACCCAAGACAAAATCCGCTGGACGGAACTGTAACGGTTTCCCACCATCAGGACAGCTTCCCCTCGGTCCCGTGGCCCGTTACATCTGCTCACTTCAAGACCCTGGTGCACCTGGTTCCCGGCCCGAATCGCCTCCGCTTCGACTTTGTCACAGCCAAACATTCCTCCGGCAGTGCGCATCAGACTGTCCATACGTCGTATATCTGTATCAACTATCTTCCCTTGGTTAATACGCCGCCCTTGCACCTCGTCGTTCTGCTTGGAAAGGACTCCGATGGGACATTCGACGCCGTGCCCGAGAGACAACAGCGGGAAGGAAATGGTCTCGAAACTGCGATCCAAAAGTACCGCATGGCGGCGTACCTGTGGCAGGCATTCACTAGCGAACAGATGTTCCGTAACAACTTTGGCCGTCGGTGTTTCCGGTTCGAAGAAGAATGGCAAGCAGGCACTTTGAGCCGCCGCGATGCCATCAATGGCCAGATGCGGAACGAGGCCAAGGTCCACGTTGTTCGGACCGACAAGACGGTCGCAGAGCTCAGAGATCTCAACCTCGCCCAGCAGAATGACTCTGCTACCCACAAGGATGAGCTGTTCCGCATCGCACGAGATGCGGTGAAAGACCATTTCCGTCTTCGACCCGGTCAGAAGCAGTACGTCTCGGTCTTGCTTCTCGACTCCCATTGGGATGTAGGCACCCAGACCATCACTGGCCACGCCGCTCTGGGTTCAGGCACAGGGGATCTCAAGCTAGCGATATTTGGCTCCCACAGCCTGCAGAGCTATCCCACCAGCTTGGAGGATGTTGTCGACGCCTTGTCGGACTGCACCAGGACTGATACAGACTATGTGGCTAACGATTCCGGCGAGGGCGGTTCCAGCTGGGAAGCCGCCAATATCGGTATTGGTGCTCATCTCCATGAAGTCGGACACCTCTTTGGATGTCCACATCAGGAGTCGGGGATCATGCTCAGGGACTATGTTCGTCTTAACCGGACTTTCCTCACACGTGAACCGTTTGCGACTCGGACGAAGACGCAGGGCCTTAAACTGTGCTTGCCTCAAGATGAGTGTAGCTGGCATCGGCTCGACGCTTTACGTTTTCGGTTCCACCCCTGCTTCCGACTTCCCGGCGATGCTCCTGTGGGCTCGGATGATAGCGTTTCGGTTTGGCCTGTGGAGAATGGTAAAATCGTGTTTACTGCCTCGACGGGTATCGCATTCATGGAACTCTACGCTGAAGGTGACAATGTATGCCACAGCTTTATCGAATACTTGAACAGCGAGTCGAGTAGCAACGGGCTACCAAGGCAGGTGACGGTGACGGAAAGCGAACTGCGACAACGCGTGTATGGCACCGAGAAAGAGAAAAAGAAGTCCATCCGCTTGGTCGTCTACTCTGGCGCCCTCGGGAGTCACAACATTGACTCGGTCAGCAACCTGAAGTCGAAGCAGAACTTGGTCAAGCTTCCCAAGAGTCATACCGGGTACAGAGGGAACAAAGTGGGCCTTTCGCAGCTCGAAGGTAGTGAACCAGAGCAGCTGCTGCTTGACTGTGCCTCTGTGTCGTCGACTAAGATCCTTACCTCTATTCGGATATATCACGATAATGCGCTCTATGGTCTGGAGTTCTTCTACGAGGATGCTACGAGTCAGCTTTTCGGCAATCGTGGTGGGAAGCCGGATGATTTTGTCCTCGGTAAGTTTATTGTTGCAATCCTGAAGATTCACGCTCGGACATAATCTAACAGTCGACAGATACCCGGAGAGGCGAAATCATACTTGGATTCTACGTTCGCGCTGGAGCGTGGGTTGATGGCATCGAGATTCTGACCAGCCAGGGCAGGAAGTCTGGCATTTATGGAAACGCCTCGGGAGGCTCAGGGTATGAAGAATCCCGTTACTGCCTTGGGATTAGGACCGCTTTACTAATAAAAGTTCAGGTACACTCTGATTCCCCCACTTGGGTATAAGATTGCCGGCATTTCCGGCACCAGCGGACCCTGGATCGACGGTTTCTCACTGGTTATTATGCATTGATCACTGCATGTTAACCATAGTGTTACCTACGCTTCATCGCTTGTCTGATCATGATCATATTGACTCGCCTTGCAGCACCTGGCCCTGACCTCGAAGGAGGTTTCAGCAATATGATATCACTCAACTTGGGCATGCGCCTTATGCCATTCACCGAATGGATGTGCACATGAATTCATAAGCGCTTGCGTCTGATGTCACCTGCAGTTCGGTCCAGCTCGAAGTCTTGTTGGCCAGCCGCAAGGCCGATCATCGAGCGGAATCGTGCAGACTAGAGCAGCGCAGTCTAACTGCCCCGCGCCTGAGCGCGCACGTGTCTATAGGTCATTACTTTTCTTGTTTCTTCTTGTCTGCTTGCCATCTGAGTCTGGACTGTCTACATTGGGCGGCGCCCGGGAGTTGCGGTGGCTTTCATTCCTTGTCGTTTCTTTTGTCACTTCTTCTTTCTTTTTCTCTTTGCCGGTTCGAGCATTGTGCTGAGGGACTGTTACTGAATATATGGAACGGGTCAGCACACGGTGCATGCCATGAAATAAGCGGGACTTGGATCATGGCGATTCATACTGGGGACATATTTGTTTAGGGGACATAATTGATAGTTGGCCGAATGGCCCATAGATAATTGCATGCCAGTGATGGCACTTGATTCGTCCTATTGAATAGTAGTTGTAATTCTGTAAGAGAACGAGAACGACTGATGGCGGCTAGATGCATCGGAGATAGGACATAGCCGTGACAGATCACCTGCTTCTCATAAATGACTGACGATTCAGTATAGCTTCGCTGCACTTAATCGCGATCGCAACGGATGATATGCATAGCATCGGGATCGATCATACCTTCGTATGACTTGCATCTAGCTAGAATTGGGGATCGCGAATCCTCTTATCGGGGCAGTACAATGCATCCTGAATGGAACAGACCACGAGCTACCTGAACCATATTGCAAACACACTCTACATTGTCATGGACGGTCAGCGACTAGAACAATTCTCGAAATCTCTCACTCTACCCAAAATATCCCTCACCTTGCCACCTATTGCTTCTTCCAAATATCCATCCATCCATTGACATACACAATCACATGTCTCCTACAGTATTACTTAGTACCTACTACCCCTTTTAGTTCCAACCGGTGAACCTAACTCTGCAACCGCCGTCATTAACTCAGGTAGGTACTGCTATTACTTACTTGCTCTAGTCGCGTCGATCGATCGATCAATCAACCTTAGTTTCTTTTCCCTCCTTTCTTTTTCTTTTCTCATTTTCCCTTTGATAGTGTGGGAGAAGTGGCCACCCCCTTAGTTTATTTTACCTCTTGGTTACCTATACGTACTAACTACCTACCCTTCTCTTTGGTATGGTTTGATCGCCCCCCCCCATCCATCCATCAGCCTTATGGTTCAGCCACGGCGTCAGGTACCCTACCTAGTCCCTTGGCCCTCTCAACCAATGGTTCTGGCCCGTGTCAGCCATACCGAACGCCATCCAGTCAGCCAAGTATGCTGGATGATGGGGTGGCGTTGGGTGGGATTGGCATTTGGAATAAGGAATAATACTTACCCTCCGTGTGTGCGTGTGTCACCTGCCCTCCCCACCCCTCCTCCTCCTCTCTCTGTTTTCTTATGCTTCCGTTGCTTGGTGGGAAACCTTCTTTCTTTTCTTTCTCAGTGTTGAGTAGTAGTGGTGTAAGTTGTGTAAGTAGTTTAGGATATGAGAGATTTTGTCGCGTTACATGTTGGCGGGCTTAACTTGGTTACATCTTGTGCTCCTTCCTTCATGGGATTAGTATAGTAAATGGGATGATGGAGTAGGACTCTTTGAGGGTATGGTGGATGGATGGATGGGTGTCTGTGCGGGATGGACTACTTAGTGCTTGACTGTGTAGCTTAGGGGCGGATGGCTGTCAAAGCTTGCTGCTTCTTTTACTTCTTTGGGGTAGTATAGTTACTTGGGTATGTGGGTATGTACAACTCTGGGGGAAGGGGGTGCTTTGCTGGTAGAGTGTAACTTGTGTAGTTGGTAGTTGTTATTTTGAGGGGAGGGTATATTTGGATGGTAATTGATGTGAGGTGAGGTATGTACGGAGTACGGAGTATCTAGATAATAGTTATCTCTGTCTATATACTTTTTACTTACTTACTCCCTGTAGTCATTGTAGATAGAACTGACTATACTAACTATAACACTCACCCTAATAAGTTACATCGTATCTCTCGGTAATTACATGTTCACCCCAGTGACAGACCCAGCAATTCGGTAAGTTCGTATGTATTGTAGGAACCAGTATTAATAGTATACTATGTATGTATGCAAGAATTCTCTCAGGGACAAGGAGAATAAAAGATAGAAAAATGATCGATTGGGCACTGAATAAATTGATCCATTGGGCATCAAGCATGGAACAGCGCGACCGTTCGAACATTCCACATTGATTCCACGCAAGGGGAAATTCATCGCAGCAGGAGAAAGTCAAGATTTGTAAAAAGCAGAAGAAGGTTGGGTTGCGTTTGCTTGCTTACTTTTTTGTCCTTACGGATCAATAAAGCCAAGTACAACGGACTAGTCCGGTCACTATCTACGCCACAATGGGATTATTTATCAGCAAATCGATTTAGAATAGCGCGTGGTGGTACATTAATAGAGTTACCAGTTGCTAGTAGTGGTCGCTCCTCTATCTGTCCAAATCTCTATCTATATTTCCGAAGCAATAGTTGTTATTACATGGTTGGAAAAGGGCTATTACCCGAAACGGGATCAATATCATCTGCATGTCACATGTAATGTATGTATTGCTACCTGACCGGAGATTTTGTTTCATGGAACCACCCAAGTTATCAATGAACCATGGAACAATAGTTTCCCTTGGGGGATGGAGATGAAATTCAATTGAATTTCCTGCCTATGGTGGTATGGTGTGTATTTCCTTTTTTGGTTGGGGGGGTTGATCTTCTGGTTCTTCTTCTTTTTCTTCCTCTGCCCTATGTATAGCAGTGTATGTGGTCACTAGGTTATGAAATACTGCTCGCTTACTTACAGAGTGTAAGTACGTATTGTATAGCGAGAATAATAAAACAACTATGGAATGATTTGATCTGCTCAGTAAGTAGGCGATAGGGTCCTCTCCTTACCCATAGACTGACTAACTATCATGTAAGTCACCGAGTAAGTAAGCAGTAGATCTCCCCAACTCGTCTACCTACTTACATAAAGTATCTGTCTGCCTGTCACTCACCCACTGATCTACGAGGTAAGTATCGAGATGATCACGCACATACCGGTCGCCAAGCGCACGCCATACTTTACTTAATCATCAGGGAGGCAAATAAAGCAAAATAAAAAAGAAAATACCTTTAAGTCGGTACTTTTTAAGCATATCCCGAATCCCGAATCTACATAAATAGTAAGTACCACTTACAGTGGTTAGTTAGTTATCCGCATTTGGTAAAATGTCTCACCTGCTTACTCTTCGACCATCTCAGCACGGGCACAAGTAGTGGTTTAACACTACGCTAGTTACAAAAGTAATCAATTAGATAGAAAAAGAATGATCTCTGATCCATCCCATCCTTCAACACACGTAATGATAAAGTCATCGCATCGATCGATCGAATCAATCACTCAATCAATCTGATTCCCAAATGACAACCAGTAGTAGATCGATCCCGCTTCCGTTCGAACCGACAGATAGACAGACAGACAGACAGACGGGAAGAAAAGAAAGGAAAGAAGTAAAGTTCCACTACTAGTTCAAGTTAAGTATATTTGCCACCCTCGCTCTAAAACATCCCTGCACCTTCACCCCCTCCCTCCCTCCCTTCCTCTTCCTCCCTCCCTTCCTCTTCCTCCCCCTCCATCATTATCTTCTCTGCCGTCCGACACGGCAGAGAGCGGGAGTGCGTGACCTCTTCTGATTCGATCGGAACCATGAATCACACAGCCTCACACGCCTTACCATAAACTTCATAGGATAGTAATTAATGGAGCAAAGAAGTGGCAGCACACTGCCATAGTAAGTAGTAGAACTTAGTGGCTGGCTTACTTCATTGTTCATCTAGTGGGCTGATGACATTTTTTTACTCTCCGCGGGGATGGTAATGGTGGTTAGTTAATTTGGATGACTGACATCTGACTGGGGAATCCATGTCGTGCATGGCGCTTGTTCCCTACCCATCGCTTGCTTGTTCGCCTCATCTGGGCTTTTGTGGCTTCAATTGCCGGAGATGGTAATGCCGGGTGAGTTTTATAAAAGTAATAGATGTATTGTTGCTGGCGAATGGTTCTGGATGTTGTTGGTTAAGTTTTTTACGTATTTCGTCCTACTGGGGCTTTTCTTTCTGAGTTTAACAGAAGTACTAACTTACCTAGTAGACTACCTGGCTGTGGTCTGTGAGTTATCTCATTTACTACTTATTGTGGTTACATTCAAATGCTGAAGTTTATTTTTCATCCATTTTAATATACAGAGTAGATAGTAATTGGTCATAGCCGATATCGTAATCCCGCTCTACAATTATAACCAAACACTGAACTGAATAACATAACCAGCTCTGTAAGTCCCGTAAAGCACTTACCAGCCTCTATACATCGCCAGTACATATTATCATACAACTACTATACCACCGACCTACCCCAACACTAGTAGTAGTACTAACCACCGATATACCCGAACCCGACAAAAGAGGAGAACATCCACCTACCTCAACGCCACCGACCCCATTCTTTCTTTCTTCTCTCCATCATCCCAGACATCCATTATACATTAGTAGTTAGTAAATAAAAGTAGATAATTTAGTAAGTCCTACTACTCCATGATAATCCAACGTATCCACAAGCATTGGACCACACCCTCTTAATCCCTGCTTCACATAAGCCATCATTTCCTTCAATCAACCAGTAATAACCCCCCTTTCCCCTCCGGAGAATATATGCGGTTATTCATTCCCTTAAGTAAACTAGTAAGTAAGAAATCTTGACTTGGCGGGTTGCGAACGAACCACTTA